CAAGTCATTGATGATTTTAGAGGCAGGTGGTCTTTTGGCAGGTGTTCTGGCCATGAATATGCACGTGGACTCTTAAGTTATTTTTCTTTCTCACATACCATCTCACTCCCCCCTCTCCACTGCCCTCCATCCAGGCCATTCCTCTGATCACATCAGGCAAGCTCAAATCCGTAGTTGACCCGGCCCTGGAAAACAACTACCCACCAGGAGGAATGAAAGCATTCGCCAATGTGGCGGTCATGTGCGTCCAAAAAAGCGCCGCCCAGCGGCCGACCATGGCTGAGGTGGCGACCCGTCTGTCTGCCATCCAGCACAAGGTGCAAGACCTGCACATCCAGGGGGAAGAGCCCAAGTATAACTTCCAACCCACCATTGGAACTGGTGCTCCGGCTGCTGCTGCTGCTGCTGCTGCCGCGCCCATTCCAAGAGCACAGTCGGCCCCTCGGCCCAAATCGCCAGCTCCAAAGGTGCCGCAGAAAAAGGCTGGGGAGAAGAGCGGGAGTGGGGCGGGAGCGAAGGCAAAGGCAAAGGATGCAGGCGTTGGGGAGGGGAAAGAGGTGAAGGGGAAGAAGGTGGGAGGGAAGGGGGTTACGCGGGCCAAGAGTGCGACACAGCCTTATTTGGGGGCTAAGGATGCAGTGGAATTCAGCTCGCAACATGTGACAGGTAAATATATCGCAATGATGTGACCCTCCAGATGCTTATGGGTTGTACACTACACCTAGATGTTCGCGTACAGGCTGGGTTTTCCAGGTCATAAAGCCTTGCTGCATGTAGTATGCCTTTTCACCTTCGCAGTGTTGAGAGATAGTACTGGTAACGGCCCAGCAGGCTTGCACCAAGGCATTGTCACCCTAGGCTTAACTATCCATTCCATGTTCTGCATGGTGATTGACATATTTTAGGCTATCTTTCTATATATTCTATATAGAAGTGTAACACTTATTCACTGCATTGATTCTAAGTTGTGGAATTGAAATGTGACATGGGTGCTCGTCCAAACCAAACTAGGTCTCCGCCTTGTTCAGGCTCGTCAAACACGGGATCTATTGTGTGGTTGGTCAGATTTGCTTGCTTAGACCCCCCTGTCAGACGCTTCGGCCCGAACCAGGATGTCATGGGCGGTGCTTCCTGCGCGGGGCGGAGTTGGTCTAGATCATGTTCTCGAAGGTGCCACGTCACAAGCTTTCCTTTCACTGAACCCGCACGTTCGCCCCAGCCAAACCAGCTGTTGTGTCCCTGCGGTCCCCACATACTCCACACGGAAAGCCGTAATTCGCTGAAACTCCATGCCAAGCCTGTGAACAAGGCTGGAATTTCTAGTGAAACCACCAGCAAAACCAGCGGCGTAGTGCTCTTCAGCTCGGTAACTGAGGCAGACAGATGTCAGTCACCAAAAGGTTCCCGCGATCAGAGCTCTGGTTTGTGGCTGTGGCATGCTCCCGCGTAGATCGCCACACGACAACCAATCTCGACCGTCTGAATGCCGGTAGATTCGAGGGCTCCTCCGCTAGAGCCTTCTAGCGGAAGATGGGAGTTGTGCCTATCTCCCAGCCCTATCTATACCTCCTCTCTCTATACACAGCCTTGTTGCGTCCTCCCAGTCTGAACAGAATCCAGCTTCCTACTGGAGTGGCTGCAAGTTGGAAGTGCAGAATTATTTGTTTCGAGCTTTTCAGCTCAAGGCAGCCTGATCATCATGACTGTGGAGACTGAAGTTATTTCTCAAGCAGCATCCCCTTCCTCCAACTTCACAGCCGCCATGACCAGGGATACGCCGTTCTACTATGTCTGGCCCGCGACGGAGCCTCTCGTGCAGAATTTCGAATGGAAGGTCGATGAAACGCCGGTGTCGAATCTTGTGTTGATGCTCTGCACATGTATAGGCTACGTCACGTTCATTCTAGGTCTGAAATGGTACCGGACAAAGAACAAGATGGCACCAGTGAATCTGGGCTTCCTCCCTGCCATTCACAACCTGATCCTGTGCCTGTGGTCCCTGGCGATGTTCCTGGGAACGATCCACGCAATGCTTTTGGATTCAGAGATCAACAAGTATGACACCGGCATGGTAAGGCGTCATGGTACATTGCTCCTCATCCTTCAGCAGATTACGTCAGATTCGGTTATTGACGGTGCATTTCGTTTCTTCGTTTGCAGGGAAATTATACGTGGCTTCTCTGTTTCCCGTCAACCGTCAAGCCAGTCGGTTATCTGTGGTTCTGGAGTTACATCTACTACCTCAGCAAGTACTACGAGCTCCTGGATACTGTCATCCTGGTGCTGAAGAACAAGCCGCTGTCGTTCCTCCACGTGTACCATCATGCAACCATCGTCTTCCTCTGCTGGCTGTGGCTAACAGTGAGTTCTCTTTTCTTGCCTTTTACACCGTCATGTGTTGGGGGTTTTTCCGCGTCTATAAGTTCCATTCATCCAGCACAAGCTTGTTCGGTATATTACGATCCACAAATGTAGAAGTTAAGAACCGATCTATAACATGAGTAACTCAACTAGCCGAGCTGTAGACGAACGCGAGGGATCCCACCTTAGCCTAGCAACGAACTACGATCCGATCAGGAATCTCTAATTAACTGAGAAGATCAATGCACAATGCAATTCCCACTGTACAGGCACGAAATCATTTCTCGTATTTGTTATCTCTTCTGTTTTTGTGAGCAGAACACGCAGTCTCTCCAGGTCATCGCCATCACCATCAACACCGGGATCCACGTGATGATGTACTTCTACTACTTCATGCACAGGTATGTAATCAGAAGTTGCGATCACGTCGTTCTCCGGTTGTTTTTTGAAAGCACGAATACAGAAAGTTACGTACATTGCTCTCTCGCGAATCTTGGCAACTGACGTCGCCTTTTTCCTGCGATTTGTGTCAACAGCATCGGCATGCCTCCTCCTTGGAAGATGTTCGTCACCAACAGCCAGATCATTCAGGTACGGTTTTCTCTGTCATCATGCTGTCTAAACCAAGAATCATAAACCTTCTCTTCTGGTTTCGCGAACAAAACTTAACTGATAAAATGCCAGAACTAACTCTTCGTTATTGATGCCCGCAGTTCATGATCGGCACTTTCGTCTCCTTCCCGCTCATCTACTTCCACTTCACCCGGCCGACTGGCTGCGCTGGATTCGAGTCGTTCTGCTTCAACCTCTTCTTCAACTCCTCGCTCCTCTACCTCTTTGTGGACTTCCACATTCGCAACTACGGGAAGGCTGCGAAGGCAGCAAAGGGTGGCAAGCGGGCCAAGAGGGATTAAGTAATTGCAGGACTTGGTTCTTGTAGATCTCGCGTTTGATGGAGCTGAACGAGGTGGCGGATATTGGCTGTGTGTTACGCGAAGGGAAGGAGGTGCAAGCTATCTCTTCACGCTTAGGGTTGAGTTAGACTGGCTAGCATTTCGGTTGACTTGATTAGATTCTCCGCTCACGTGTTACCAGCGTTTTCAGTTTTGTCAGCTCTCTTCTGACGATGCTATCCCCTCTCCACAATCCGTTACAGCCAGTCGTAGCTGGGGTTCCTAACAGTTACCGCTGCTGCTGTCTTCGAAAAACCAGAACGATAGTTCACGTTAGTAGGAAGTCTCCCCTCTTCTTTCATCCCAGCTTTCCCCCCGCTGTCTCTTTCCCTTCTCCCTCTCTTCCACTATCTTTCCCTTTCCCCGTCTTTCTCTTGGCCCTCTTTCTCTTTCCCCCCCTCGTTTTTTTCCCCCCTCGTCCTCTTTCCCCCTCGTTCTCATCTCCCCTCGTTCTCTTCCCCCCTCGTTCTCTTTATCCCTCGTTCTCCTTCCACCTCCTCTTTCCCCCTCTTCTCATTCGCCCTCTTCTCATACCCCCTCTTCTCTTCCTATCTTCTCATTCCCCCTTCTCTCTTTCCCCATTTTCTCTTTCCTCCACTTACCTTCCGTATTCTTTCTCCTTTCTTCCCTATTCCAAAACCCTTCCCATCCCGCTCATCTCTCTATCGCTTTCTCACTACCTATCTAGCTCTTCTTAAACCCCCCCCCGCGTCTCTCTTTTCTCACCAACCCCCACCCTCACTCTCCACCTCGTCCTCTATTGTAACCCTGCCCGGCTCCCTCTCCTCTCCTACTACAGGATCATCCTGCCTATTTCTCCCTCACCCCACTGACTCTTTTCACTGCCACAGTTTGACAAGCTGTGTGTCTTAAAACTGGACAATCCCTCCTACCCACTCTAGACATGTATTAGGCAAGGAGTCAGAAGGAAAACAATTTGTAAAAAAAAAATATTGCCATAACGAATTTTGGTACTTTACTGACCACCTGAACCGATGACCATATGAGGGAGAAACTCCCTCTCTAGTTTTTGCACATTATTTTCCACACCTGACTTCTACTGTTACCAATCTAAACAATCTCACCAAGATCTGCATCTGATAATAGAAGAGCACGTCAACGAATCTTACTTTGTAGTCCGAAGTCTCACTGCTTTGAAAAGAATCATCGTCTAGCGCGGATGGGAACGGGTGACTGGTCAGATTGCTCTGATCAAGAGCTTCGGCTCCCAGATTCACCACAACATGCAAGAGACATAACAGCTATGCCCAACGTAAGCCATTCAGCGTAGTGGCCCAAGCGTAGCAGTTCGCAACGTCATTCAGCGTAGTGGCCCTCTTACAGCGCTTCTGGCTTGAACATGGCTCTTACTCGTTCCCAAATGCCGTTCAGTTTAGCAGGACCGAATCTACATTTCAACAGAGGTCCCGCCTCCAGTCCACTTGATACAAGGCCCGCGTTTTTCTCCAGTTCCCCGTCCAGAAGGAACATTATAACGGGGCGCATGGGGAGACCCGTGGGGAGGCTTTCAGCAAGTTCCGGCGGGTTTTGGAGTCCTCCGGAGAACAAGCTATGCCTCGCTGATGCATTATTTCGTCACGAGCAGCAGTCAATTAGTGCGATTTTTCAGGCGCCTCAAAGCCACGCTCGTGCGCCGTTAGGTGTTAGACGGACTGCCACGTCACCATGTCGTGTTACTGTTACCCGAGCTACCTTGGGAGGAAGCAACGGGGAAGAGGGGGGAGAATCCGCGCGCGCAGCAGCAGAGCAGCTGACGTCACTGCAGAGATCGCTGACGCAGCTTCTGTGCGTGATGGGAAATCTGGCGAGCGCGGTGGGGGAGGTTGCGCGGGCAGCGGGGGAGGTGGCGGAAGCAGCAGGGGCGGAGCGGGGAAGCGGAAAGACTGGATTGCGTGCAACAATATCAGCTGCAGCAGCCGCTAATGCTGCTACATCTGCTGCGGCTGCAGCAGCAGAGGCAGGAGGAGCAGTGGCTAAGGCTGCTGCAGCAGCTGCTGCTGCTGCCGCTACTGTTGCAGCTGCTGCCTCTGCCAACACATCTTCGATAGAAGCTGCATCAGCAGCAGAAGCAGCAGGAGCAGAAGGAGCAAGAGGCCTAGCACCAACTATAAGTGAAGGGGGAGGGGGAGGGGGAGGGGGGAGGGGGAGGGGGAGGGGGAGGGGGAGCATGGGGAGAGGGCTGGAAGGGCATGAGCTGGCGCTGGCGTTGCAGCGGGCGTTTGTTCAGGCCCGAATAGAAGGGCTGGGGAAACCACGAGAGGTGGGTTTGAGCGTGTATTAAAAAGAGTTAATATGTGTGAGTGCGTGTGATTGAAGGGCATGAACTGGCGTTGGCGCTGCACCGGGCGTTTGTTCAGGCCCGAATTGAAGGGCTGGGGAAGCCACGAGAGGTGGGTTTGAGCGTGTATCAAAAAGAGTTAGAATGTGTGAGTGCGTGCGATGGAAGGTCATGCGCTGGCGTTAGCTCTTCAGCCAGCGTTTGTGCAGGCCCGAATTGAAGGGCTGGGGAAGCCACGAGAGGTGGGTGTGTGTGTGGTTGGGGAGAGGGGGGGGCGAAGGGGCGGGAGCAGGGGAGCTGAGGTCTCTTCATAGTTTTCTCCCCCTTTCCTCCCTCCCCTCTCTCCTCTTTCCCAACTCTCCTCCCTCCCACCTCCCCCGATTTCCCCCCACACGACTACCCGATCAGGAAGCGTTGGGGGACTTTGTAGACGCGTGCATGGCAGCGCGGGCACAGTCGCTGGGCTTTAAGGACCTCCAGCTGAAGCTGCTGCTGGCGATTCTCTTCCTTCCCCCCCGTGTTCTGAACAGGAGGCGTTGGGTGACTTTGTAGATGCGTGCATGGCAGGGCGGGCACAGTCGCTGGGCTTTAAGGACCTCCAGCTGAAGCTGCTGCTGGCGGAAGCTGCCCTGCCCGCCCCCTTCTCCATGATGATGGGCTCTGGCGCTAGGGAGGAGGGGGAGGGGGTGGGTGGGGAGAGTGGGGGAGCTGAGGCCTGTTAGTCAGATTTTCCCCCTCTCTTGCCTCCCCCCTTCCCCCCCTTCCTCCCCGCCTCTCCCACCCCATCAGGAGGCGTTGGGAGATTTCGTAGACGCGTGCATGGCAGCGCGGGCGCAATCCCTGGGCTTTAAGGACCTCCAGCTGAAGCTGCTGCTGGCGGAGGCTGCTCTGCCCGCCCCCTTCTCCATGATGATGGGCGCTGGCGCTGGGGAGGAGGGGGAGGAGGGGAGGAAGTGAAGGGGAGCTGATGCGTATTCATATTTTTTTCCCCTTTCCCCCCTTCTTCCTCCTCCCTTCCCTCTCCCACCCCATCAGGAAGCGTTGGGAGATTTCGTAGATGCGTGCATGGCAGCACGGGCGCAATCCCTGGGCTTTAAGGACCTCCAGTTGAAGCTGCTGCTGGCGGAGGCTGCCCTGCCCGCCCCCTTCTCCATGATGATGGCTGCTGGCTCTGGGGAGGAGGGGGAGGCGGAGGGGGGAGCGGGGGAGGGGGGGAGAGCGGGTGGGAGAGAACGAGAAGGAAGAGTGGAGGGTGAGGAGAAGAGGGAGGGGGAGGAGGGGAGACGAGGGGGAAGAGAGGAAGGGGTGGAAGGAGGGGCAGCAGGGAGTGGAGATGGGAAGGGGGGTGGAAGGGGAGAGGAGGGAGATGAGGAGGGGGTGAGAGAGGTGGGAAAGGAGGAGAGAGTGGAGGGGGATTTGGATAGTGACGATGAGAGAAGGAGCAGCGCTCTTAAAGCCCTTCGAGGGCCCTTTCTGGCTGAGGTTGGTGGGGTCACCTAGGAGGGTATGCAGGCATGGAAATATGAGGCAGGGGGGCATGGAGGCATGGGGGTATGGGATGGATGGATGGGTATGGGGTGGGAGGATGGGCACAGGGATTGTGCGTGCACGAGGCAGGTAAGTTTGTTGGCTCGGGCACCGTTCTGTGTGTGTTCACTTACCTGCTTATCGCTTATGCCTTCTGTTCGTAGTGTGACCGCAGCCCCGCTTATGCTTGCTTCCTTGTCCCTCCTCATTTCTTCCCCTCCAACCACACAATCTTCATTCTGGTCATCCACAGAAGGTATGAGTTCTGTCTTTCACTCTCTCCTCCCGTTCTCAACCCCGTTGTCAATCTCACCCCTTCTCTTCTCACGTTCTCACCCTCTCTCATCTCCTGTTCCCACCCCCTCTCACCTCCCTTTCTCGCCCCCTCTCACCCCCGGTCCTCCGCAGGAGGTGCGGGTTCGAACGCTGTGGGTCCGGCTAGTCTACACCACACTCAACATGGTACACCCATATGCTTACAAACATATACATTATTCTTGATCTTTATTATCAGCATTAATATCATTATTATTACCATCTGGCACACTGACTGTCCATCTATTTACTCATGCATGTCCCACCCCACCTTCCCCCCTCACCATGCCACCAGGTGGACAACATAAGGAGTGGAGAGGGGTACGAGGGAGTTGTGTCAGCAGACGGTTCTCAGCCTCCTGACCCTACCGATGGGTTTGTGCAGCAGGTGGGTGTGGTGCGAGGGGTATAAGTGGGTTCGTTGTGCATTTGCGGCGGTAGGGAGTGCGTCCGCAGTTGGGAGTGCGTCCCAACTGCGGCAGTTGGGAGGTCGTTGTGCACTTGCGATTTTTGAGGCGCCTAAAAAATCGTTGTGCATTTGCGGCGGTTGGGAGTGACATTTCACGAATTTGAGAAGCAACTGCGTGGCACATTTCACTGGGATCAGTCCGTTCTCTCTGAGTTGAGAAGCAAGCTGTCAACCCAGGGCAGTGTACCAACCCACTCCTCGTGTTCCTCTCTGGACCTAACCTACTACCCCGCTACTTTTTCTCACCTCCCACCACCTCCCATCGCCATTCTTCATCATTCTTCAACCCTCTTCACTCCTCTTCACCCCTCTTCACCTCTATCAGAACGTCAAGGCAGCATTTGACCAAGGCAGGGACTACAACTTCGTGCGGATGGAGCAGGTACTATCTGGTCAGGTACTATCTGGTCAGGTGCTATCTGGTCAGGGGCTATCGGCCCAGGTTTTTTCCTGCCCAGGTTTTTTCCCATCCCCATCCATCCCCCACCTCGCCTACTCCCCTCCTCCCACCTACCTCCCCTCCCTGCATCTGGAGAGAGCCAGGGAACACCAGTGCCCTCCACCATAGTCACCTCACCCTGCAGTAGATCCAGCTTCTTATTCTCTCAGCGCCTTTAGATTTTCCTCCTCCCCTCTTCCCCTCCTCCCTCCTACCTCCCCTCCCTGCCTCTCGAGAGAGCCAGGCAACGCCAGTGCCCCCCACCATAGCCACCTCGCCCTGCAGCAGATCCAGCTTCTTACGGTATTCCCCTAGCGCCTTCGAAATTTCCTCCTCTCATTTTCCCCTCCCGCCTACCCTTCCTTCCCCCCACTTCAGGAAGCCCAGGCAACACCAGTGCCGCCCTCCATAGCCACCCTGCAGCAGATCCAGCTTCTCATTCTGTTGGCACTTTCCAAAGGCATGGCTGCCACCGCATAACGCTATCCCTAAGGGTTACCTCCTAGCTATGAACCAGGCTGCCCCTGTGCCAGGCAACACCAAGCCGCCCTCCATAGCCACCCTGCAGCAGATCCAGCTTCTCATTCTCTTAGCTCTCTCTAAAGGCAAGCCTGCTGCCTCCTAGCACTACCTGTTAATGCCACCCCTTCGCCCATGCTGTTGTTAAAACCGTTTAGTGTTTACTTATAATGTTTACCATACTGCACCTCATGGAACACTGAGCAGCGCAAGGCGACCAATGCCCTACCAGTGCCGCCCTCCATAGCCACTCTGCAGCAGATCTAGCTGCCCATCCTCCTTGCACTCATTCTCCTTGCATTCATTCTCGCACTCATTCTCCTTGCACCCATTCTCCTGGCTGCTACTGCCGCATAGCACCAGCTCATAGGGTTACCTCCTAGCAATGAGTCAGGCAACGCCAGTGCTTCCCTCCCTATCCACCTTGCAGCAGATCCAGCTGCTCGTTCTCATGGCATTATCTCAGCTCAGGGCATGGCTGCTGGTGCTAGTTCGTACGGTAGTACTCACACACAATGCATTCTTTTTCTCTACTCACATCAATTTTGTTCATTGGTATGGTACTATTTTATCCATAAAAACAGGGAAAAACAGTATAAAATAGAATGTTTCATTGAGAACAGCTGAGTACAGTAATGAAGAGTGAATTGATAGCTTGAGCTTATACTGTAAGCTACCCCTGAGAAGCCTAAATGGAGGCAAAAACCTGTGCAGCAGTGGCACAAAGTTGAAGGTGGTGGTGGTGGTAGCGATGGTGGTGGTGGTGATGGTGATGGTGATGATGGTTGGGGTGGTGAGAGCTTGAGCTTCTACTGTAAGCTACCCCCGAGAAGCCTAAATGGAGGCAAAAACCTGTGCAGCAGTGGCATAGCGTTGAAGGTGGTGGGGGTGGACGTAGCGATGATGGTCGTGGTGGTGATGGTGATGATGGGAGCGGTTGTGGTGCTGATGATGGGAGTGGTGGTGACGGTGATGATGGGAGCGGTTGTGGTGCTGATGATGGGAGTGGTGGTGACGGTGATGATGGGAGTGGTGGTGATGATGATTGTGATGGTGTGTGAAGTACCGATGCTAATGTCTGTCCAAGGCAAGTTACAACAGGGTAAAGAGGATCGTCCAGGGTTTACACTGAGTTGAGCGCTCGGTTAGCAAGTTGCCAACCAGACGAATGTGCAGAGGCAGAGGCAGGAGCAGGGGCAGGGGCAGAGGCAGCGGCAGGGGCAGGGGCAGGGGCAGGGGCAGCGGCAGGGGCAGGGGCAGGGGCAGGGGCAGGGGCAGAGTTGACAATGGAAGGACAGAGATGGGCGGCTCGGTCGGGAGAGAGGGCTGGCGAGAGGGACGAGGGGGAGAGAGCGGCCAGAGTTGCTGCTCTTTCGGTGGCTCAAGCCAAGGGGTGGCGTGCTAAGAGGACGGAGATGGGTGAATAGTGAGGAGAGAGGGCTGGTGAGAGGATTGGGGGACGTACTGTTCTAGGGAATTCTTAAAAGGTCTGTTAGTTGGCCAAATCAAGGGGAGGCTTGGCAGCAGACAAGGTTTGATGCGAAGAGGAGGGGTGCGGGAGGACGGAGATGGGTGAACGGCGGGGAGAGAGGGCGGGTGAGAGGATTGGTGGGCTTTTCTGCTCTCTCAATTGCACAGATCAAGGGGTGGCTTGGCAGCAGACAAGGATTTATGCGAGGAGGGGTGGGGAAGGACGGAGATGGGTGAACGGCGGGGAGAGAGGGTGGGTGAGAGGATTGGTGGGCTTTTCTGCTCTCTCAATTGCACAGATCAAGGGGTGGCTTGGCAGCAGACAAGGATTGTTGCGAGGAGGGGTGGGGAAGGACCGAGATGGGTGAACGGCGGGGAGAGAGGGCGGGTGAGAGGGATGAGGGGGAGAGAGACGGAGAGGAGAGGGAGGAGAGAGGGGAAGAGGAGCGAGGAGGGGAGGAACGAGGGGAGGGGGTGGTAGACCTTTGCGCTGGTATGTGTGAGGGTGTGTGGGAAGGTGTGTGGGTGAGGGATGGGGAAGAGAGGGACTTGTGGGGTTGATGGGTTGCACGGGGTAGGTGTGTGGGGGAGGGTGAACGGCTGGGGGAAGAGGTAGAGGAGGTCGAGAGGCGGGAGGAGGAAAGAGAGGTGAGTGAGGAGGAAGAGGAAGAGGATGTGCGGGTGAATAGGAGGCTCGTCGAATACATGTTGCTGCTGCCTGTCTTGAGTGCTTGCACTCTCTTGGGGCCAATCTGATAGGTGGAGAGGGGGAAAGAGAGGGAGAAGAGAGTTTGTGTGTGAGAGAGAGAGCAAGAGAACTGAATACACGTTGCTGCATTTGCATAGGGCCCGATTCCGATGGGGAGAAGAGGGAAAAATACGTGTTGCTGCACTTCTGACTGCCTCGGTCCTCCCTGTTCTGAGGCACCGTTTGAAGCGCCTCAGAAACACTGTCACCCTGGGTTATTGGCACGGCACTGAGCTCACCTTTCTGAAGAGCATGCTGCAGGTAGCAGGGAAATATTGTCCGAGGTACATGAGTAGCAGCACCGGCTGTGGGGAGACAAGTGTGTGTGGAGGGCAGGGAAAGGGGTTGAGAGCAGTATGAGCCAGTAGCAGGGAAATATTGTCCGAGGTACATGAGTAGCAGCACCGGCTGGGGGAGACAGGGGAGGATGGTTAAAGGGCGGGGGAATGGCGCAGGGGCACGGAGAGGGGGTGGGCAGTTGAGGGGAGCAGGTGGCAGGAAAATACTGTGCGAGGTACATGAGTAGCAGCACCAGCTGTGGGAGACAGCAGTATGAGCAGGTGGCAGGGGAAGGGGTTGAGAGGAGTATGAGCAGGTGGCAGGGAAGTACTGTGCGAGGTACATGAGTAGCAGCACGGGCTGGGGAGTACAAAGGAGGATGGTTGAAAGGCACGAATGGGGGGGTGCGGATGGGGGGAAGGCACGAATGGGGGGGTGCGGATGGGGGGAAGGCACGAATGGGGGGGTGCGGATGGGGGGGTGCGGATGGGGGGGTGCAGATGGGGGGGTGCGGATGGGGGGGTGCGGATGGGGGGTTGCGGAAGGCAGTGCACCGGGTGCTTGAGAAGCAGTATGAGATGAAGGGCACGCAGTGCATGAAGTGGGAAAATGGGAGAAGCTTCAGCAGAGGCTCATGAATTACAGATCGTACTGCTAATCCTCTGCTAAAGAATTCTTTTAGACTGCTGCTCGCCTAATCATATGGCTGGGCTCATGAAGCTCAAAACAGTGTGAGCACGTGGCAGGCAGATATGTACTGCCCTACTTTGCCCCTACTTTGCCCCTACTCACATGTCTGGAGATCCATGCTTCTTCTAGCCTCCAAGCAGCAGCGCTCACTATGAGCTCTGCACATCGCGATGCTGGCATGCGCGAGTCCTGTGGAGAGAGAAGGGAAATGGGGAGCGAGATGTGGGGGACAAGAGGCAGAACAGTGGGTGGGATGCAGACTCGAAGGGGAGAGGGAGGAGCAAGCAGTAGCGCTCACTATGAGCTCTGCACATTGCGATGCTGGCATGCGCGAGTCCTGAGAGGAGGAAATGGAAAGGGGAGAGAGATGTGGGGGGAGTGAGGTGTGGGGAATGAGGGCTAGATGAAAGGGGGGAAGGAAGGAAAGGCATGAGCAAATCCACCCAATTCACCCACTCACGCACTCACCCACCCACACTCACCCACCAAACAGTCCCACACTCACTTTCTCATCTCCCCCAGCAGCAGCAGGAACATGTAGTTGATCAGCGGAGGGCTTGGTTGCGAGTTTGACTGCCCCCTCAGCAGAGCCCTCAGTGGCGATCGGGCCGGGGCACACGAGCGTGACGGCCACACCGTGCTGCACCGCTTCGTACCGCAGCGTGTTGAAGTACCCATGCAGGGCATGCTTGGTGGCGGCGTATACGCCCTGCGTGGGCGCGGGGAGCTTGCCTGCTGCGCTGCTCACCTGATTAGGGGAGGAGAGGAAGGGGGAGGAGGGAGTGAGGAGGATATCAAAAGGAGGAAGAGAGCAAGGAGCATGCTTGGTGGCGGCGTATACGCCCTGCATGGGCGCAGGGAGCTTGCCTGCTGCACTGCTCACCTGTAGGAAGAAGCAGGAGGAGGGACCGGAATGGGATGGGATGGGATGGGATGGGATGGGATGGGATGGGATGGGATGGGATGGGATGGGGGGAACCAGAGGTGCATGGATATTGTACCTAATTGCTCTTACCCAAACGTCTGCCTTAAAGATTTTCATGCATGCACATTCCGCTGGGAAACTCACCACGAGTATCTGCCCCTTGTTGCGCTGCATCATGCACGGCAGGAGGTAGCGCGTGAGCTCTATGGTGGCGACCACGTTGACCTCTAGCATGCCCTGATGGGGGGAGAGAGGGCGGACGGGGAGCGCAACGAGGGAGAGAGAACGAGGAGAGAGGTAGCGCGTGAGCCCAATGGTGGCGACCACGTTGACCTCAACATGCCCTGATGGGGGGAGAGAGGGGCAGGTAGGAAAGGGAGAGGGGGCGCGGGAAGTATGGAAAGGGAGGGAGGGTGGTAGCGCGTGAGCTGGATAGTGGCTGCCACGTTGACCTATAACATGCCCTGATGAGGCAAGAGGGAAGGGGTGGGGGAGGGAGGGAACGGGCGGGGAGGGGAGGTAAGTAAGGAGAAGGGAGGGAGGGAGGTAGCGCGAGAGGTATCTGCACATGTGAACTGGCTTAGGCGGCAAATGAGCGAAGAGATACGAGTTGGCGGGGGCGGGAAGAGGGAGAAAAAGGTGGGGGGGTCTCTGCGCTTATAATGAGGAAGGAGAGTAAACCTTACCCGAAGAGTGTCCTCTGGAGTGTCCTCACACGTGGCTTTCTGTTTCTGCACGTGGCAGAAGAGAGAGACGAGAGTTGGGAGAGAGGGGGGCTTACCCGGAGAGTGTCCTCTGGAGTGTCTTCACATGTGAGCTTCTGCACTCCAGTGGGCAGATGAGAGAAGAGAGACGAGGGGCCTACCCTTGTCTCATAACGCAGTAAAAGGAGGCGCTTACCCGGAGAGTGTCCTCTGGAGTGTCTTCACATGTAAGCTAGCTTAGGGCAGATGAGCGACGAGATCCCAGGGGGCAGGGGTGGGTGGAAGAGGGGGGAAAGTGGTGCCTGCTTATAACGGGGAGGGAGAGGGGGGCTTACCCGAAGAGTGTCCTCTGGAGTGTCCTCACACGTGAGTTTCTGCACAGGGGCGAAGAGAGACGAGGAGAGGGGGGGGGGGGGGGGGGGGGGGATTGGGAGAAGTGTGAGAGGGAGAGTGCGACGGAGGGAGGCTGAGGTTACGGCAGTAGAAGAGAGAGACAGAGGGAAGAGGGAGGGGGGAAGGGAAATGAAAAGAGGAAGTAGCGGTGCAGGGCGTGTTTGGTGGCGGCATAGGGAAGAGGGGAGAGACCAGAAGAGGGGATAGGATAGGCCACTAACCAAGCGTGGATGCATGACAACCAGCACGTCAGCCCCGCACGCCCCTTTCCCCACCTCGCGCGCGACCCCCTCTTCCTCTTCCCCACGCCCACCCCTCCACCCCCCCCCACCACCCCCCCTTCCCTCCCGCCTGGCGGAAAGCAATTTCCGCCTACATTTGAGGCGCCTTAGGACCAGCAGCGTTCAGGATAGGGGACTCACCGGGCGCGGATGGGCAGCATTCAGAACCAGCACGTCAACCCCGCAGGGTTCTTCCCCCCCTCCGCACGCCCCCTCCCCGCGGAACGCGCTTTCCGCCTGGCGCACTGCGCCGCGCAGCACGTCCGCGCCCCCTTTGAGATCGAACGGCAGCACCACCACCCCCTCCGGCGCGTGCTTCCCGCGGCACGTCGCGCGCACCGCCTCCAGGCGATCCGCGGAGCGCGAGGAGAGGATCAACCGCGCGCCCATCGCCGCGAAACGCTGCGCCAGCTCCTGCCCTGGTAGGCGGAAGGGCCAGAGCGGGGCGCGAAGGGGTGGCGGGGGGGCGAGGGAATAGGGGAGGTCGCGCGGGGGGTGGGCAAGGAAAAGGGGGAGAGGAACGAGGTGGCAAGGACAGCCCTAGATAGGATACGGACGTCCACTCCCTAACCTTATACCCACATGCCTGTATTACACTCCTCGATGCCCTGGCTCGCCACGTGATAAAAGTGTAGTTTTGAGACGTCTCAAAACTACACTTTTATCACAAGGACAGCCCTAGATAGGATACGGACGTCCACTCCCTAACCTTATACCCACATGCCGGAATTACACTCATCGATGCCCTGGCTCGCCCCTGTGATCCACACGACCTTGTCCTCGAACGCCCCTTGGGTGGTGTGAGTGAGACGACTCGAAATACTCAGAATAAACCCAGACTGGCACTATGATTAAGCCACACTCACCGATGCCCTGGCTGCCGCCCGTGATCCACACCACCTTGTCCTCGAACGCCCCTTCCGGCGGCGGGCCCTTGAGGAGCAGCGTCAAGTCCGCTGCGGTAACGCGGGGAGCGCGAGGGACACGTGATGCGCGGGAGATTCGGGGGAGATGAGTGGGGGGGGTGCGGGGGAGATACGCGGGAGATGCGGAGAAGATGCAAAGGAGAGATGCGGTGAAGAGATGCAAGGGACACTGCAGAACGAACTTGCGGTACGTTTAGTGCACGTGTCGTTCAGGTGGCGCACGGGACACTGCAGAAAGAACTTGCGGTACGTTTAGTGCACGTGTCGTTCAGGTGGCGCACGGGACACTGCAGAACGAACTTTGTACCACGCGCGGCGAGACAACGACTTTTTAGGCGACTAAGTCGTACCACGCGGCGCGGTAAAGAATACCACGACACGACGGACAACAAGGTTCTAGAACAAACAGGTCGATCCAATATCAGCACGTTTGAATTTCCTGCTGTCAGCCGTGGGGACTTTTGAGGCGCCTCAAAGGTTCTAGAACAAACAGATCGATCCAATATGAGCACGTTTGAACTTCCTGCCGTCAGCCGTGCGGAAGACGAAAACGCAGCGGATGAATAGGACGAGCGGGACGGGTAATGGGAAGCTCGTACCGTCCGCGGTAAAGAAGAAGACGATACGCCATATAAACAGGAAGAGCACGAGCGCCGCGGTGGCTACGCTGGCGAAAACGACTGGATCCGACGTGTCCATGATTGTAGATAAGGCTGTCAGAGCTGACGTGTCCATTCGCGAAGACGCCCAAGGAACTACCGTATAGCGTAAAGTATGATTTAGTACTATGGCGGTACGAACTCTCGAGACTCCTTACTGGACTTGAGCGTATGATCTAGTACTCTTGACTTCGATAAATCACACTAGCTGAAAACAGTAGCTATCGCGTCAATCAAGTAGGCGGATCGGGGGTCTCGTCTCGACTCGATTGCCCGCAAGCACCCGCAACCAGCTTTACAAATGGAGGTGCTTCAGCTTATATGTTGATCTATTCGATCGAGCAATGAGCGCATGAATCAATCGCACCCACCGAACAGACTCACTGACCAACAGTTATAGACTGACCTCCGCATGCTATTTCTGAGATTCCATGAGGGAAAAGACGAGCCAATCACTCGAACCCAAAAACAAAGGCATCGCCAAGTTCCGCCGATGTGTTTCTGGCGGAAACCGCCTTCCCTCCACCCTTCCGCGAACACCCGCATACTCGAGAGAATCGCCCGACTGCCTTCAGTCGTGGTGGAAAGTCCCTCCCTGGGGAAGAGTGAGCAGGGTGCGGGAAAATGTGGGCGGGCGGAAGGGTCTCCCCCTCCCCGATTTCCGCATGACAAACATCACACCCACATCACATTGGTCGAGTCGCGCTGGTCTCTAGGCGCAGCTCATCCCGTTCGGCACAGCTGGGAAAACAAACTCAAATCAGTAGGGTTGGAGTCGGTTGGTTTGGAAGACTCGACTCCAACTGAGACGAGACTCGACGTGGGTGTCCAATCGAGGGGAGATGCGCGTACATGCTGTGGGGAACAATGCGCGAAAGAGTCGAGCGCACAGCTGTTGTGGAATCGCACAGGCGGGGAGGGTAGGAGGGGGGATGAGTTGGTGAGAGCGGAAGGCTCTTTGCAAATTCGTTTTCGGGGAAGGAGAGATGAGGGGGAAGGGAAAAGGGGAGGGGGGAGGGGGGGGGGGGGGGGGGGGAGATCGGGGAGTGTGAATGTGGGGAATGTGGAACGAAAAGATAATTAAGTCTGGGACACCCATCCCAGAGTGGCTTCTTTCACGTAAACCTTGTAGCTAGAACCAAAATGTTTCGCGAAGGGTTTGGAATGAATATGAATCATGAGCGAGCGAGGGAAACACACTGTGACTGACCGTTTATGTGTATGATGGGGGAACGTTTAGATGGGCCCGTAAAAAACTTCACTGAAAGGGGATATACCAGCTATGAAAATTCCCTTGTGTGCCATTGATGCACAGCTTTTGAAACGCCATCCCAAGGGTGGGTGACGAGACACCCTTGGCAGTGATCCTATGACCTGCCCTGCGTGGTGTGAAATGTGTGACAGCTGTTCGGTCCGATGCTGTACATGGTGCGCGTATCGTTTATGACGTGTCTGTCTCGACTGAGCCGATTCGCGTCCCGAACAAGCTGCAAAATCAACTGGGCAATGGCCACCAAGGCGCGGGACAACCAATCAACGATTGGTCAAAGCTTGAGATGTGACGTCAGCCACTGGTCCAGACTATGATAGACGCAACAGTAGCGAATGGACCAATCGCAAGAACATGAAATGCCCCTATATGCGCGAGGCGCAGGCCTACAATCACTCAACACCGCACGCAGCCCAGTTTCACTTGCCTATAACGAGCGGCAAGGACTATTGATCATATGACCTTTCTCGAGTGGCTGCAGTGTTCCCATGACGATACAGCCAGTATGACTGCACAACCACACATAATGCTTACCATACCATCTCCCATATGTACAAGTAGGTAGTCAATCAAACTTAATATGTTAGATAGAATGCTTTTTCTTCTATATATGATCTGCTATATGTTATCGTAAATTTATTATGAAATGCTTATATCTCTATACTTTGTCAATATTTCTCGTATATAACTGAATCTATATCATTTATATTTGACATGTGTAGTGCTGACTTCATTGCACTATAAAGAGCTGACCGTGCTCCACTATCTTGCTTGAGGCCGTGTCAACACAAAACGGTCCCCCCAATTCCACGAGAGACTTTGCCAGTGGGCGACACGGAAATTCTTTTCGAAACTCCCCCCAAGCAAGTGCGTAGGCGGAAGACGAATATCAGAGCGCTACAAAAGCCTCAGTTTCCCCGCACCAGCGCAACCACCCATCCATTCACCTTCCTTCCCCCTTCCTATTGGCCCGTCGTCCCTCCTTCCTGAGACAGCTTCCTGAGATTCCCCCTCTCCCCCCTCCCCTCCCCTCCTGCCCCTCCCCCTCCCGCCAGTCAAAACCTACCGCTCTCTCGTTTCTTGCAACCGTTTGCAGACGTTTTAGCTGCCCATTCGGCGACCCACCGTTTATGCTCAGACACGCCACGCCAGCCTTCACGTCCCTCCTGTTTCTTGTAGTGGACGGAAAAGGTATGTACAGTAAAGTTCGACAGAAGAAACTATGGCAGATTTTGCTCCAGCGGCAACCATTCCGTTTTGTCCCCCTCACAGATGGTCTTTGCGAAAAAAATGATATGCTAACCGGCCGACTGAGCTCACGCCTGCATTTTTTCCGTCCAGCCACCTCCCACTCAGCCCTTCCGGCCACAGCTTTTCCGCCTACAGTTCTTCCGCAAACAATTCTTCTGTCAACACTCTTCTTCCGCCTACACCTCTCCAAGCCCAGATGTTTCCCCGAACCGAACAGTCTTCCCCCTTCACAAATTGGACTTTCAAAAACGGTCACTAGTAGTTTCCTTCGTTTGGACATTCTCCACTATCCAGAGTTCCTCCTGTTTGATGCTCGAGTATATACGCAACATTGCCCTGATTCGTGTTCACTTCAAACAGAATATGCCGCGTCCTTATATATTTTAGGCCAACTCTTCTGTACCGCCTACTGTGCAGTGAGCACTATCACTTACGTTGCCTGGCATCATCACACTTGACATTGGGAGGATTGAAAAGCGCTTGCTCCCGTTGAGTCACGGAATCGAGGGCACTGGAGGAGTTGAGATGTGCTCCCGAATTATGAAACGGCTGGCTTCATCTGTTCAATTTCCCGTCAATGTCGGAAACCGAGATTGACCACGCACAACTTAGCTCAGAAGGGTCCTAGGAAAAATAGATTATCGTTGTCTTTTCGTTGACCTCGTACATTTGCGTTCGTAGACAAAAAATAGGACCAGCGGTGCACGCACTGTATACCTGAACTCCCAGGCACTGTCCAAGTCAGAAAGGAGCTTGTGCGTTCCGTATTTATTTACTGTACAGCGACTGTAGACGCTACGCCACGAACACTACTAATATATTACTGCGTGAACGCTAGGTTAGGAACCAGTAGGGAATCAGCAGCATGGGCTCGTGCTTGTCGAAGAGCAAGGAGCGGCGGCCTGATGCGTCCAAAGCACCGCCAGCCGGTGCCGACGCAACTCAGACGGCTCCGGCTGCCGTGCATGCGAAGCCGGCAAGTACAGATGGAGTGAAAGCTGCCGGGCCGTCAAGTCCAGGGAAAAGTGGAAATGAGGGTTCATATGGGGTGGGAGGAGCATCAGCGGGAGGCGCGGAGGCAGCAGGAACAGCAGGAGGAGGAGCAGAAGGAGCAGGGACTGCCACAGGATCAGATGCAAATGCGAGTATACCAACAGGAACATCAGCGGGGAAAGAAGCGGAAAATAACGCGGGTGCTGCTACCGCGGTTGACGGAGCCGCGTTACAATTCGCGAAATACGATAAGAACGACACGACGATCCCGTTAGGGTTGCGAACGGATTTCGGCTATAAACGAGACTTCGAGGCACACTATAAGCTGGGCAGGGAGTTAGGTCACGGGCAATTCGGCACCACGTACGAGTCGATTCAACAAGCCACGGGCGAGCGGGTGGCAGCGAAAGCGATCGAGAAGAAGCAGGTGCGATTTAAGCAGGCGTATAATGAAACAGGTGAGTGTAACGAGGCAGGCGTATAATGAGGCAAGCGGTAGAGCGAGAGTGAAAGAAGCAAGTTGGGTCACGGGCAATTCGGCACCACGTTCGAGTCGATTCAACTAGCCACGGGCGAGCGGGTAGCAGCGAAGGCGATCGAGAAGAAGCAGGTGCGTGTAACGAGACGGGTGCGTGTAACGAGGCAGGCGTATAATGAAGCAGGTGCGTGTAACGAAGCAGGTGCGCAGCGCGAGAGTGAAAGAAGCAGCTGAGTCAGTTATGAGTCAGTTCAGCATTCACCAGCGTGCGAGTGGCAAGTGCGTACACGCGAGTGGCATGTGTTTCGAAATGTCTCAAAACCAAAATATATATATATATATATATATATATATATATATATATATATAGTAACGTATCGACATGTAACGTCTTTTCCCCCCATAACTTTCCCACCGCTCATCGCTCCCCCACACTAACAGATGAAGCTACCTATAGCAGTGGAGGATGTGCGGAGGGAGGTGGCGATCACGAATCGGCTGTGTAAAACGCAGCTCTCAAACCCTTTTCTCTCACCACTCAACTCTTCCCCACCCCCAACTTACCAGATGAAGCTGCCTATAGCGGTGGAGGACGTGAGGAGGGAGGTGGCGATAATGAAGCTGCTGTCGGGCCATCCCAACGTGGTGCAATTCATTGACGTGTTCGAGGACACAGACTTTGTGTACATCTGCATGGAGTGAGTGCACTATACTATACTGGGTACGGAGTGTACTGAGGTGCAGTTTGTCGACATTTGAGGGCACCTATTTTATGTACATTTGCAGGAGTGAGTGCATTATAGACGCATGTTTCACACTCTATCTCTGCTCTCGTTCTCCCCATCCTCTCACGTCATTTCCACCGCCCTCTCCTTTTTTCCTCCTCTCTCTCCCCCGGTCTCGCTCCTGACTGCTCCTTTTACTTCTCTTCCGTCCTTTCCTTACCGCTCCTCTCCTCCTCTCCTCCCCATCCTCACCCCCCATCCGCTCACTCTCCCCTCGCTTCCCTCTTGGCAGAATCTGCGAGGGTGGCGAACTCCTCGACCGAATCCTTAGCAAGTAAGCTTGGGGGATAAAATTCAAGACTAGGGAAAGTGAATGGGTGGGAAGTAAACTTTACAGGGGACGGGAAACAAAGGAAGACGGTGCAGGGGCCAGGACCGAATGTGAGACAAGCAAGTTGAAGGGAGGGGATGAAATTGCCAGGGAAGGGAAATGTAGAATGGGGAGTAAGCAGTTATGATAAATCGTTTCAGCATGCTAACCCTTTTTCCCCTGTTGTCTTCCCCATTTTCTCGTTCCCCCCTCCCTTCCTTTTTTGGGGTTAAACGCGAGCAGGCGCGAAAATCGGTATTCAGAGAAGGATGCAGCAGGAGTGGTGCGGCAGATGCTGAGCGTGGTGGCCAAATGCCATCTGCACGGCGTTGTTCACCGCGACTTAAAGCCCGAGGTGAGAGATGGGTAAAGGGGGGAGGCAAGGGGACGGGCGCGCTTGGGCCGAGAGAGAAGGGGGCAAATGGAAGAAAGCGAGAAAGACAGAAGGCGCACACCACAGAGCGACTTGGCCAAATGCCACCTGCACGGGGTTGTGCACCGTGACTTAAAGCCCGAGGTGAGAGAGAGCGAGAGAGGGCGTGGAAGGGAGAGGCAAGGGGAGGGACGGGCGTTAAGAAAGAGAGACGTAGAGCGCACAACACAAGGTCGCTGAGTGGCGTGGCCAAGTGCCACCTGCACGGCGTCATTCTTATTTTGAGGCGCCTCAAAATACACCTCGCTGAGTGGCGTGGCCAAGTGCCACCTTCACGGCGTCTTTCAACTCCTTGCCTTTTCTCCCCTCCTCGTTTTGAGACGTCTCAAAACTCAAAACTAGACGTCTCAAAACTCAAAACTAGACGTCTCAAAACTCAAAACTAGACCTCAAAACTCAAAACTAGACGTCTCAAAACAAGTGCCACCTGCATGGCGTCATTCAACTCCGTGCCTTTTCTCCCCTCCTCTCTTACTCCCCCACCCTTTCCCCTTCTCCCCCCTCCCTTCCCCCCCCCTTCTCCTCGCCTTTTCCCTCCCCCTGCTCTCTCCTTTCATCCTCTGTCACCGTCCCCACTCCCTCTCCTTCCTCCCTTACCTCACCTCCCCCTTCTCCCTCCACCCCCCTCTCCCCTCTCCGCCCTCTGTCCCTCCCGCCCCACCCCCCCCTGCAGAACTTTCTCTTCAAGTCCAAGGCAGAGGACGCGCTCCTTAAAGCCACCGACTTTGGCCTCTCGGATTTCAGAAAACCTGGTGAGTGCTGCACGTGGTCAGGGCAGTGCCATGTGTGAGTAGGGAGTGCCACGCCATGCGACTCTTGAGGCGACTCAGAAGGCAGAGGAAGCGCTCCTTAAAGCCACCGACTTTGGCCTCTCAGACTTTAGAAGACCTGGTGAGTGCTGCACGTGGTCAGGGCAGTGCCACCCGTGTGTGCTATTGTTGTGCCATGTGCAGTGCCACGTGTAGTGCCACATGTAGTGCCACGTGCAGTTCCATGTGCACTCTCCCTTACCTCCCCTCCTCTTTCCTTCCCCGCTCCGTCTTCGCCCCCAGGCAAGCACTTTTCGGCCGTGGATGCACTTCGTTGCCTACTACGTCGCCCCTGAGGTGCTCAAGAGGCGGTCTGCCCTGCTCACACCAGCCCCTCCCCACCCCACCCCACCCCACCCCACCACACCACACCCCACCCCAACCCAACCCAACCCTCTCCACTCCTTTCACCCCCAGGCAAGCATTTCACGGACGTGGTGGGCAGTGCCTACTATGTCGCCCCTGAGGTGCTCAAGAGGCGGTCGGGGCCCGAGAGTGACGTGTGGAGCATTGGCGTCATTACATACATTTTGCTCTCTGGCAGGCGGCCGTTCTGGGATAGAACGGAGGCAGGGATATTCAATGAGGTGAGAGGAAGGGCGAGGGTGGTGAGATGGGAATGATGGAGAGCTGTAGGTAGGGGTGGTAAGAGAGTGAGGGAGAGAAGGAGAGCGACGTGTGGAGCATCGGCGTGATCACCTACATTTCGCTGTCGGGGAGGCGGCCGTTCTGGGATAGAACTGAAGCTGGGGTTTTCAACGAGGTGAGGAGGGGTGAAGAGCTGTGGAGATGGGTGCAGGAGAATGCAGGAGAATGGTGGGGGAGGATAGAGGAGGTGAGGGAGGGGGGTAAGAGAGGGAGAGTGACGTGTGGAGCATCAGGGTCATCACGTACATCCTGCTGTCAGGCCGGCGGCCGTTCTGGGATAGAACAGAACAGAGGCGGGGATCTTCAACGAGGTGAGAATAGAAGTGGCCCGACTTTGGGAAGAAGCCATGGCCGCACCGCATGTGAGCGCCAAGCCAAGGACTTTATTTCCCAGCACCATGTCCCCTCCCCATGCCCATCATCATGACTCCTTCATTTAACTGCTCCTTACCGCTCCCCACCACTCATCACCGCCCATCACCACTCATCAGGTGCTGAAGAAGCGGCCTGACTTCAGGGAGAAGCCATGGCCGAATGTGTCGTCCAGCGCCAAGGACTTTGTGAAGAAGCTTCTCAAGAAAGACCCGCGCGCTCGACCCACTGCCGCCCAGGCCTTGTGTGAGTGAGCGCAGCGTGTACCACGTGTGCTTGGTGTGAGGTGAGTGCTCTAACCCGCACTGCCAGCGCCAAGGACTTTGTGAAGAAGCTTCTCAAGAAAGACCCCCGCGCCCGACCCACTGCTACACAAGCCTTGTGTGAGTCAACGCGCTGTCTGCAAGATGTGCTTTGTTGTGTGCTAGTCAACGCGCTGTCTGCAAGATGTGCTTTGTTGTGTGTGAGTCAACGCATGTGCATGCTTGGGGTGGGTGGATGGACAGAGCACTATCCTGACTGCCACTGCCACCGCCAAGGATTGTGTGTGAGTGCATAACCCACTGCCGCCCAAGCCTTGTGTGAGTCAATGCGTTGCCTGCTAGATGTGCTTTGTGTGTGCGTGAGTGTGCTAGCCCACCGCTGCACAAGCCTTGTGTGAGTCCATTCTCTGAGTCTACCCATTGCCACCTGATTCAACCGCACTTCCTTTCCCACCCCCCACCCTGCAGTGCACAAGTGAGAGGAGGGAAGGGACCCCTTATCATTCATTAGTGAGAGGAGGGAAGGGCCATAGCAGCTATTGTGCTTCCAGACAGCCCCAAAATGCCTCTCTTCCTCCTCTCCCCTATCCCCCCCGTCCTCTTCCCCCAACCCCTTTCAGCGCACAAGTGGGTGGGTGGGTGGAGGGAGGGGATGCGTCAATGTGGCTTGGCATAGCAGTGCCCAGAGTAACCGTGCTTTCAGACGGCCCTTGACTGCCTGCCCCCTTCTATTGGCCATAACCCCTTGCCACCCCCCCGCCCTTCCCACCCCCCTACTCTTCCCAGCGCACAAGTGGGTGAAGGAGGGAGGGGACGCGTCATCTGTGCCGCTGGATATAGCAGTGCTGTCCAACATGCGAGAGTTCGTCAAGTACTCGCGCCTCAAGCAGATGGCTCTCAAGGTGAGCGTGGGGATGTGTGTGTGTAGCTGATGGGCAGTGCCACACGGCTGGTCTGTCTGGTTCATTGAGCCATCACTCAGACGTCACAGTGTGCTGTCCAACATGGGGGAGTTTGTCAAGTACTCGCGCCTCAAGCAGATGGCGCTCAAGGTGGGTGGGGGGAATTTCAGGGATGCACGCACACACGAAGGAGGTGAGAGGGGCAGGCAGAAGGTACAGGCTTGGAGGGACCAGTTCAACTCAACCAGTTGGTCTATTTCGGCAGGAACGGACATTTCTGCCCTGCTCGATCCCCTGCTTCTTCCTTCCCGCTCCTCATCCCCACCACCCCACACCCCCCCGCCCCAACTTCTTCCTTCCCGCTCCCCATCCCCGCCACCCCACACCCCCCGCCCACACTCACCCTTCCTTCCCTGCCTTCCTTCCCACAGGCCCTGGCGACAACACTGGAGGAAAATGAGGTGCAGGCGTTGAGGGATCAGTTTAATGCGATGGATATCAACAAGGATGGCACGATCACGATTGATGAGATCAGACAGGTGAGGTGGGAGGGAGAGGGGGGAGGGGGAGAAGGGAGACAGTGCTGGGCTGTCGTGCTCAAATGCAGCCAAGGAAGGGGACAAGTACGAGGTGCAGGCGTTGAGGGATCAGTTCAATGTGATCGATATCAACAAGGATGGCACGATCAAGATCGATGAGATCAGACAGGTGAGGAGGCCGAGGGATGGGGAGGAGGACGGGGGAGGAGGACGAGGGAGGAGGACGAGGGAGGAGGACGAGGGAGGAGGGCGAGGGAGGAGGAAGGGAGAGATGGGAGGGGGGGGAGGGAGGAAGGAAGGAAAGGGAGAAGTAGGAGGTGCAGGCTCAAAGAGACCAGTTCAATGCAATGATTATCAACAAGGGTGGCACCATCACGATCGACCCTTTCCTCATTTCCCCTCTCGATCGTCATGGTGGCATCCTTATTCGGTTTTCGTCTCTTCTCGACCTTTCCTCATTTCCCCTCTCTTTCCCCGCCATGTGAAGTGAAGGACTCGAACCTCTTATCAGCTCTAGCCCTCACAAATTCAGGCCTCTCCACTTTCTCTCCGTCCCCGTTCACCCCCTCGCGTTCCTCAGGCACTGAGTCACCAGTTGCCTGTTGAAATTTGAGACGTCTCAAAAGTTGAAATCATCAGAGTCAACCCTCTGTCTCTCTTCCCCTTTCTCTACTCCCTTCTCTCTACCCCCCCCCCCCCCCCCCCACCCCACCTCCCACTCTCCCTGCTCGCCCCATCAGGCGCTAAGTCACGACCTGCCATTTGAAGTGAAGGAGTCGAGAGTGCTGCAGATTCTCCAAGCAGTGAGTACCTACCCTCTCTGTCTCTTTGCATCTCAGCCCTGGTTGGGGAGATGATGTAAGCCTACCTAGCCTCCCAAAGCCCATGCCTTTCATGGTTTAAGGCACCCCAGAAGGAGTCGAGAGTGCTGCAGATTCTCCAAGCAGTGAGTGCCTATCCTCGCTCTCTTTGCATCTCAAGGCACCCCAGTAGGAGTCGAGAGTGCTGCAGATTCTCCAAGCAGTGAGTGCCTATCCTCTCTCTCTTTGCATCTCAAGGCACCCCAGAAGGAGTCGAGAGTGCTGCAGATTCTCCAAGCGGTGAGTGCTCAGCTCAGCGCATTCCCTCAGCCCCTGTTTCAAAAACACCCGGATTCGGGGCGCCCTTTTTCGAGATGTCTCTGACGTCTGCCTGCCTAGCTTTGCAAATCCTCCAACCATATATCCCTGCCGCCCTTGTTTTCTGCTCAGATGGACACCAACTTGTGATGGCATAATAGACTTCGACAAGTTTGTGGCGGCAACACTGCACGTGCAGCAGCTGGAGGAGGTCCACTCCACCAATTGGCATCTCAGAAGCGCCCCTCACCAGTGGCTTACCCTTTCCCCACTCCCTGCCCTTTCAGATGGACACCAACTGTGATGGCATAATAGACTTACGAGTTTGTGGCAGCCATGCTGCACGTGCAGCAGCTGGAGGAGGTCCACTCCACCAAGTGGCAGGAGCACGCCGCACACATTCCCCCATCCTCCACCCAAAATGTTCCTCTTCCCTACCCACCTCCCCGCGACTCAGATGGACACCAATTGCGACGGCATTATTGATTTCGATGAATTCGTGGCGGCCACGCTGCACGTGCAGCAGCTAGAGGAGGCCGACTCCACCAAGTGGCAGGAGCGCTCGCGAGCCGCTTTTGCCCAGTTTGACCGCGACAACGACGGGTACATCGATGCGGAGGAGCTGCGCATGGTAAGTCTGCCGAATGCTGAGTGCAGTGCGGTATAACTAGGTTCCACCCAATCTGAAGTGGTTGGTTGCACCACCGCAGTATGACCGCGACAACGACGGGTACATCGACTGCCCATGGTGAGGGGGTATCTGCTGAATGTTGTAACTGAGTAATGCACAGGGTATGGTACAAGTGCTGCGGACCACCACAGTTGATGATGGCAATGATGGGTACATCGATGCTGAGGAGCTGCGCATGGTGATGGGCTGTGTGTCTGCTGAGTGCTGTAACTGAGTATGGTACACGTGTTTGGCACCACTTCAGTTCGGTTTGACCGCGGCAACGACGGGTATGCGACACAGGGAACTGCGTGTGATATGGTTTTCAAGTGCAATATTAAGAATGTACTGAGTCTCAGTGCTTCCCACATATCCTCCCCCCCCATTTCTCACATTTAACGAATGCAAGCACATCTGTGTTTTTCCTTTCCCCCACAATTCTCCCAGGCTGCTCAAGTTAATTTCCCTTTGGATAATCTGATAGCAGAAGCTGACACAGACGGGGACGGCAGAATCAGCCTGCCCGAGTTCCAGAAGCTTCTGAGATGCGCAAGCATTAATTCCCGCACCAACACATCTCGCTCCCGGGGTCGATCATGGCTCGGCCAAACCATCGACGAATAGTAAGCTGTCAGCCAACGAACTTTACACTAGATATGAACTACTTCGGGGAAAGTGCATGTTGCAGAACTAGGAGTTAATTTTTTTGGTCCAAATAGTACACTAACAGAATGCTGGTTTGTGTTAGGACGCATTGAAGGTGAGAATATCGCAGAATCGCGCGTGTATATCGATTGGGCGGATCGTTTGGCGAAACGATGCGCCCACGCGGTTGTAACGATCGCCCCTGCGTGATGGGTTGGATGTTACAGAATCAAGATTTCGGTTTTGCCTGCTACACCGTCTAAGAAAAAACCCCTTCGTCCAACTACACCTGAGACTCTTGCAACCAACAGGGCAACCAGCTTGAAATTCCGCGAAATGCCAGAATTATGCGCGTCTACGTCATCGCTATGCGAAATTTCAGCACTTCGCAGGCATCAGCATCAATCTTGCCTGTTATGATCGGTTCGTGCACATCATCTGCGCATTGATGCTGCGGAAAGTTCTACAGCGATCAGTGATCAGTCGCATTCACTTACTGTGCACAAAAATTGGACAAAAACCTTACTGAAGCGCGGTTACACAGTAGAAAACAGGGTAACTAATCTGCATATCGATCGCAACTGATGATCGATCTTCTACTTTCACCGCGTCCTTAGGTCAGTAAAAGTGATGCAATTACCTTTCACTACGTAATTGATCTACTGTAGTTGTGTATGGGAGTTCTCTGAGGGTGATAAAATTTAGTCGGAGGCCTGGATATTATGTTTCACTTGTCCAGTATTTTAGTTCACATTCGATAAATTTCTGATTGGCGTAAGTAACGCGGGTTCTGCTGATTGGTAGTTGAGATTCAAAAACGACTTTTAGCTGACCGGGCATCTGAGATTGATGTTCCAGCTATGCTTTGTTATTACACGTGGCACTCGGCGATTGCACTGATAATATGACTTTGCGTTACCATCACACTTGGTCTAGCCTAATCGGCTCGCAGGGCACCAAGGATTCTCTCGCTAATGGGCTTGACGAAGTGCTGCGATCACTTTAGTTACGCCAAATCTGTTCGTGAATGTACGTGATTAGCACAGCTTCGCATTCGTACGTCGCGTACGATTTTCCCACCAGAGCTACGAGAAGTATTTCCCCCCATCACCAGATTGTTTCAGCCATGGCTGCTACCCTCAGCCTACTAGGTTCTGCCACGTCGCTGGTGCAATGCCTGGTTTCGTTATTCCTGAATCCCTAAAAATCGCATCGTCGGGCTTTATGGATGTCGAGCTTTGGGACATCTCACGACCTGGTGCGAGCCCACTCTGGAGCACATTGAAATAGGCGGAAACTACTTCACATGTTCCCTCCTGCTTTAGCAGTTCTCCTCTCGCCCCCAGTTTCCGAGTCGGCTCGGAAATCAGGTCTTCCCCGTTAGCAGCGGTAGCTTTTGGGAATTCTTAAACGAGATTTCAGCCCTCAGTTCTCGCCATGGCGGTCGCAGTGGCTCGTACCGCCAGCGCCGCGCCGCTGATTCGGGCAGCAGAGAGGGTTTTCAAGCCCAGAGCACAAGCACAGTCGCGGTCTCTACAATGGAGTGTCACGTCTAAGGCGCAGACACATGCTGGAAGTCCGGCATCGCACGCGTCGCACACGTCGCAAGCGTCACGAGCGTCGCACGCGCCCCTCGTGTGCTCTCGCAGCAGCAGCAGCGCCGTGGCGGCGTGTCGAATCAGCAAGGCGCATCGATTCGCGACCCCGTCTCCAGCCTCTCACCAGCACCTCCGCTCCACAGGAATTCGGGCTTTCTCCTCGCTGCCCGTTCGAACGTCGGGCAGGCTACGCATGCTCCTAGGGATTCGCGCCCGCAGCGAATCGTCGGTGTCGCTTATAACGGGAACGCCTGTAGCGGGCGCGAGGGCTGGCGCGCGCAGGCGTGCTAATATCCGATGTCACAGTAGCCCAGGCGCTGGTGGTTCAGATGGCGTTCGCGCTGGGGATTTGGTGACTAATGCGGGGGAGGGAGAGACGAAGGCGAGAGATATTGGACATGGGCATGAGGAGAAGCAGGATGATCATAGTCATGGGCACGGTCATGAAAATGGGCATGGGCATACAAGCCATGCACATGCTCAGAGTGCTGTTGCCATTGATACGCACAATCATGAGCATGAGGAGGATCACCATGAGCATAAGCACCATCGTGAGCATCAGGATCAGCACACGGAGAATCATGATCATGAGCATCAGGATCAGCACACGGAGAATCATGATCATGAGCATCAGGATCAGCACACGGAGAATCATGATCATGAGCATCAGGATCAGCACACGGAGAATCATGATCATGAGCATCAGGATCAGCACACGGAGAATCATGATCATGAGCATCAGGATCAGCACACGGAGAATCATGATCATGAGCATCAGGATCAGCACACGGAGAATCATGATCATGAGCATCAGGATCAGCACACGGAGAATCATGATCATGAGCATCAGGATCAGCACACGGAGAATCATGATCATGAGCATCAGGATCAGCACACGGAGAATCATGATCATGAGCATCAGGATCAGCACACGGAGAATCATGATCATGAGCATCAGGATCAGCACACGGAGAATCATGATCATGAGCATCAGGATCAGCACACGGAGAATCATGATCATGAGCATCAGGATCAGCACACGGAGAATGATGATCATGAGCATCAGGATCAGCACACGGAGAATCATGATCATGAGCATCAGGATCAGCACACGGAGAATCATGATCATGAGCATCAGGATCAGCACACGGAGAATCATGATCATGAGCATCAGGATCAGCACACGGAGAATCATGATCATGAGCATCAGGATCAGCACACGGAGAATCATGATCATGAGCATCAGGATCAGCACACGGAGAATCATGATCATGAGCATCAGGATCAGCACACGGAGAATCATGATCATGAGCATCAGGATCAGCACACGGAGAATCATGATCATGAGCATCAGGATCAGCACACGGAGAATCATGATCATGAGCATCAGGATCAGCACACGGAGAATCATGATCATGAGCATCAGGATCAGCACACGGAGAATCATGATCATGAGCATCAGGATCAGCACACGGAGAATCATGATCATGAGCATCAGGATCAGCACACGGAGAATCATGATCATGAGCATCAGGATCAGCACACGGAGAATCATGATCATGAGCATCAGGATCAGCACACGGAGAATCATGATCATGAGCATCAGGATCAGCACACGGAGAATCATGATCATGAGCATCAGGATCAGCACACGGAGAATCATGATCATGAGCATCAGGATCAGCACACGGAGAATCATGATCATGAGCATCAGGATCAGCACACGGAGAATCATGATCATGAGCATCAGGATCAGCACACGGAGAATCATGATCATGAGCATCAGGATCAGCACACGGAGAATCATGATCATGAGCATCAGGATCAGCACACGGAGAATCATGATCATGAGCATCAGGATCAGCACACGGAGAATCATGATCATGAGCATCAGGATCAGCACACGGAGAATCATGATCATGAGCATCAGGATCAGCACACGGAGAATCATGATCATGAGCATCAGGATCAGCACACGGAGAATCATGATCATGAGCATCAGGATCAGCACACGGAGAATCATGATCATGAGCATCAGGATCAGCACACGGAGAATCATGATCATGAGCATCAGGATCAGCACACGGAGAATCATGATCATGAGCATCAGGATCAGCACACGGAGAATCATGATCATGAGCATCAGGATCAGCACACGGAGAATCATGATCATGAGCATCAGGATCAGCACACGGAGAATCATGATCATGAGCATCAGGATCAGCACACGGAGAATCATGATCATGAGCATCAGGATCAGCACACGGAGAATCATGATCATGAGCATCAGGATCAGCACACGGAGAATCATGATCATGAGCATCAGGATCAGCACACGGAGAATCATGATCATGAGCATCAGGATCAGCACACGGAGAATCATGATCATGAGCATCAGGATCAGCACACGGAGAATCATGATCATGAGCATCAGGATCAGCACACGGAGAATCATGATCATGAGCATCAGGATCAGCACACGGAGAATCATGATCATGAGCATCAGGATCAGCACACGGAGAATCATGATCATGAGCATCAGGATCAGCACACGGAGAATCATGATCATGAGCATCAGGATCAGCACACGGAGAATCATGATCATGAGCATCAGGATCAGCACACGGAGAATCATGATCATGAGCATCAGGATCAGCACACGGAGAATCATGATCATGAGCATCAGGATCAGCACACGGAGAATCATGATCATGAGCATCAGGATCAGCACACGGAGAATCATGATCATGAGCATCAGGATCAGCACACGGAGAATCATGATCATGAGCATCAGGATCAGCACACGGAGAATCATGATCATGAGCATCAGGATCAGCACACGGAGAATCATGATCATGAGCATCAGGATCAGCACACGGAGAATCATGATCATGAGCATCAGGATCAGCACACGGAGAATCATGATCATGAGCATCAGGATCAGCACACGGAGAATCATGATCATGAGCATCAGGATCAGCACACGGAGAATCATGATCATGAGCATCAGGATCAGCACACGGAGAATCATGATCATGAGCATCAGGATCAGCACACGGAGAATCATGATCATGAGCATCAGGATCAGCACACGGAGAATCATGATCATGAGCATCAGGATCAGCACACGGAGAATCATGATCATGAGCATCAGGATCAGCACACGGAGAATCATGATCATGAGCATCAGGATCAGCACACGGAGAATCATGATCATGAGCATCAGGATCAGCACACGGAGAATCATGATCATGAGCATCAGGATCAGCACACGGAGAATCATGATCATGAGCATCAGGATCAGCACACGGAGAATCATGATCATGAGCATCAGGATCAGCACACGGAGAATCATGATCATGAGCATCAGGATCAGCACACGGAGAATCATGATCATGAGCATCAGGATCAGCACACGGAGAATGATGATCATGAGCATCAGGATCAGCACACGGAGAATCATGATCATGAGCATCAGGATCAGCACACGGAGAATCATGATCATGAGCATCAGGATCAGCACACGGAGAATCATGATCATGAGCATCAGGATCAGCACACGGAGAATCATGATCATGAGCATCAGGATCAGCACACGGAGAATCATGATCATGAGCATCAGGATCAGCACACGGAGAATCATGATCATGAGCATCAGGATCAGCACACGGAGAATCATGATCATGAGCATCAGGATCAGCACACGGAGAATCATGATCATGAGCATCAGGATCAGCACACGGAGAATCATGATCATGAGCATCAGGATCAGCACACGGAGAATCATGATCATGAGCATCAGGATCAGCACACGGAGAATCATGATCATGAGCATCAGGATCAGCACACGGAGAATCATGATCATGAGCATCAGGATCAGCACACGGAGAATCATGATCATGAGCATCAGGATCAGCACACGGAGAATCATGATCATGAGCATCAGGATCAGCACACGGAGAATCATGATCATGAGCATCAGGATCAGCACACGGAGAATCATGATCATGAGCATCAGGATCAGCACACGGAGAATCATGATCATGAGCATCAGGATCAGCACACGGAGAATCATGATCATGAGCATCAGGATCAGCACACGGAGAATCATGATCATGAGCATCAGGATCAGCACACGGAGAATCATGATCATGAGCATCAGGATCAGCACACGGAGAATCATGATCATGAGCATCAGGATCAGCACACGGAGAATCATGATCATGAGCATCAGGATCAGCACACGGAGAATCATGATCATGAGCATCAGGATCAGCACACGGAGAATCATGATCATGAGCATCAGGATCAGCACACGGAGAATCATGATCATGAGCATCAGGATCAGCACACGGAGAATCATGATCATGAGCATCAGGATCAGCACACGGAGAATCATGATCATGAGCATCAGGATCAGCACACGGAGAATCATGATCATGAGCATCAGGATCAGCACACGGAGAATCATGATCATGAGCATCAGGATCAGCACACGGAGAATCATGATCATGAGCATCAGGATCAGCACACGGAGAATCATGATCATGAGCATCAGGATCAGCACACGGAGAATCATGATCATGAGCATCAGGATCAGCACACGGAGAATCATGATCATGAGCATCAGGATCAGCACACGGAGAATCATGATCATGAGCATCAGGATCAGCACACGGAGAATCATGATCATGAGCATCAGGATCAGCACACGGAGAATCATGATCATGAGCATCAGGATCAGCACACGGAGAATCATGATCATGAGCATCAGGATCAGCACACGGAGAATCATGATCATGAGCATCAGGATCAGCACACGGAGAATCATGATCATGAGCATCAGGATCAGCACACGGAGAATCATGATCATGAGCATCAGGATCAGCACACGGAGAATCATGATCATGAGCATCAGGATCAGCACACGGAGAATCATGATCATGAGCATCAGGATCAGCACACGGAGAATCATGATCATGAGCATCAGGATCAGCACACGGAGAATCATGATCATGAGCATCAGGATCAGCACACGGAGAATCATGATCATGAGCATCAGGATCAGCACACGGAGAATCATGATCATGAGCATCAGGATCAGCACACGGAGAATCATGATCATGAGCATCAGGATCAGCACACGGAGAATCATGATCATGAGCATCAGGATCAGCACACGGAGAATCATGATCATGAGCATCAGGATCAGCACACGGAGAATCATGATCATGAGCATCAGGATCAGCACACGGAGAATCATGATCATGAGCATCAGGATCAGCACACGGAGAATCATGATCATGAGCATCAGGATCAGCACACGGAGAATCATGATCATGAGCATCAGGATCAGCACACGGAGAATCATGATCATGAGCATCAGGATCAGCACACGGAGAATCATGATCATGAGCATCAGGATCAGCACACGGAGAATCATGATCATGAGCATCAGGATCAGCACACGGAGAATCATGATCATGAGCATCAGGATCAGCACACGGAGAATCATGATCATGAGCATCAGGATCAGCACACGGAGAATCATGATCATGAGCATCAGGATCAGCACACGGAGAATCATGATCATGAGCATCAGGATCAGCACACGGAGAATCATGATCATGAGCATCAGGATCAGCACACGGAGAATCATGATCATGAGCATCAGGATCAGCACACGGAGAATCATGATCATGAGCATCAGGATCAGCACACGGAGAATCATGATCATGAGCATCAGGATCAGCACACGGAGAATCATGATCATGAGCATCAGGATCAGCACACGGAGAATCATGATCATGAGCATCAGGATCAGCACACGGAGAATCATGATCATGAGCATCAGGATCAGCACACGGAGAATCATGATCATGAGCATCAGGATCAGCACACGGAGAATCATGATCATGAGCATCAGGATCAGCACACGGAGAATCATGATCATGAGCATCAGGATCAGCACACGGAGAATCATGATCATGAGCATCAGGATCAGCACACGGAGAATCATGATCATGAGCATCAGGATCAGCACACGGAGAATCATGATCATGAGCATCAGGATCAGCACACGGAGAATCATGATCATGAGCATCAGGATCAGCACACGGAGAATCATGATCATGAGCATCAGGATCAGCACACGGAGAATCATGATCATGAGCATCAGGATCAGCACACGGAGAATCATGATCATGAGCATCAGGATCAGCACACGGAGAATCATGATCATGAGCATCAGGATCAGCACACGGAGAATCATGATCATGAGCATCAGGATCAGCACACGGAGAATCATGATCATGAGCATCAGGATCAGCACACGGAGAATCATGATCATGAGCATCAGGATCAGCACACGGAGAATCATGATCATGAGCATCAGGATCAGCACACGGAGAATCATGATCATGAGCATCAGGATCAGCACACGGAGAATCATGATCATGAGCATCAGGATCAGCACACGGAGAATCATGATCATGAGCATCAGGATCAGCACACGGAGAATCATGATCATGAGCATCAGGATCAGCACACGGAGAATCATGATCATGAGCATCAGGATCAGCACACGGAGAATCATGATCATGAGCATCAGGATCAGCACACGGAGAATCATGATCATGAGCATCAGGATCAGCACACGGAGAATCATGATCATGAGCATCATGGCCATGCACATAGCCATGCCCACGACCATAGCAACCATGCGCATCATGAGCATCAAGAGCATCAAGAGCATCATGAGCATCATGAGCATCATGAGCATCATGAGCACTCACACTCACATGCACCCGAAGCACATGCGTCCCATCATAAACACCATCACCAAAGCGAGCAGCACTCCCATGCCCATGCCCATGACCATGCCCATGACCATGACCATGACCATGCACAAGCCCATGCCCATGCCCATAACAACCACAGCCATAACAACCATGCCCATGCCCACACCCATGTGCATGACCATGCCCACAGCCATAACGACACCCATGACCATGCCCACAACCACAGTCATTCCCATGCCCACTCCCATGACCATGATCATGCACATGCGCATGACCACAGTCATGCCCATGCCCAGTCCCACGACCATTCCCACAGCCACGGCCACCACCACCATCACCACCACTGCTGCCCCGCGCCCACCACCCTCAACGCAGCCCAGCGAGCCCTCCTCTCGCTCTTCTCCTTCCTCCGCCTCGCCCCTCTCGCCGACCGCATGAGGGAGAGCGCGCCCCTCGCCTCTCTCTCCCTCGCGCTCTGCCTTGCTGCCTATGCTGTGCCGCTGCTTGTGCCACTCGTGGTCCAGATGCAATCCCAGCCGTTGGTGGTGCAGATGCTGCAGACGGGACTAGTGGCGACAGCTCTCCCTCTCACTGCTGTAAGCCGCTCTTTATGACTCAGTTATGGCTTTTGTGAGGGCGCAGTGAATTTGCATGTGCTCAGCCACTCCCCACCCACATCCCGTCTCCACCCATCCAGATCCCAGCAACCATGGATGCATTGGTGGACATAGCAGGCGGATCAGTGAACATCCATGTGCTCATGACCGTTCCCCACCCACAGCCACACTCTCTGCATAAATGAAACACACTCTCTCCTCTCCCTCTCCCCACTCTCCACCCCCCTCAGATCCCAGCAACCATGGATGCATTGGTGGACATAGCAGGCGGGGCAGTGAACATCCATGTGCTCATGACCGTGGCAGCACTGGCATCAGTGGCCATGGGGAATGCGCTCGAAGGGACCCTACTTCTTGCCATGTTCTCCATCTCCCATATAGGTGCGTCTCAATACCCTGTATAGGAGTGAGTGACATCCATCTCCCATATGGGTAGGACCGTAGGGTTTGCAGTGAACATCCATGTGCTCATGACCGTGGCAGCACTGGCATCAGTGGCCTTGGGGAATGCCCTCGAAGGGACTCTGCTGCTCGCCATGTTCTCCATCTCCCATATAGGTGTGCCTCGATTTCTCGTATAGGTGCGACTTGAATTTCCAAAAGGTTGCCCCATCTCCCATACTGGTGCGCCTCCTTTCCCTGCATAAGCACGCCTCCTTTCCCTGCATTATTGCGCCTCCTTTCCCTGCATTATTGCGCCTCCTTTCGAATGACTCTTCCTTGTATAGGTAGTACTCAGTTCATTGAGTTGTTTCACTGAGAGGGCACTGAACGATTTCAGCTCCTTACAAGACAACAATCCCTCCACTGCCCTCCTCATCGACCCCTCCTGCCTCTCCCCTCCTCTTTCCCTTCCCCTACCCCTTCCCCGCCCCCCTCTTCCTCCCTCCCTCCCTCCACCCAGAGAATTATTAGGCGAGCGGAGCATTATTTCACGGAGAAGGCTCTGGGCGACCTTCGTTCCCAGCAGGACAACAACCCCTCCACTGCCCTTTTGAGTTGACCCCCCTCCCTCTTCCGCTCCCCCCTTCCCACCCCTTCACCCATCCATCAGTGGAGCATTATTTCACGGAGAAGGCTCTGGGTGACCTGCGCTCCTTGCAAGACAACAAACCTTCCACTGCCCTGCTCATCGATCCCTCCTGCCTCTTCCCTTACCATGACCAATCCTCTTTTCCACCCACCCACCAGCGGAGCATTATTTCACCGAAAAGGCTCTGGGCGACCTTTGCTCCTTGCAGGACAACAACCCTTCCACTGCTCTCCTCATCGATCCCTCCTGCCTCTCTTCTGTCGGTGCTTCTACTGCTGCTGCTGCTTCTGAAAACGGCGCCAGTGGCGGCAGCAACAGCAGCAACAGCAACGGCAGCAGCAACGGCAGCAGCAGCAGCAGCAGCAGCAGCAGCGGCGGCGGCGACGGTGGGAGCGAAAGGAGAGAAGGCAGGGTGGTGTTTCCGGGTCTGGCTGCCCTCTCATGGTCCGAAGTGCCCGTAGCAGATGTGCCGGTGGGGGCTATGGTGCTGGTGAAAGCAGGAGAGGTGAGTGCTACGGGTGAAAGAGGTGAAAGGGAGACAGTCTAGTGCATGTGTCTATGTGCCTCAGAACGATTTGACTGCTCTTTCATGGTCCAAAGTGCCGTTAGCAGATGTGCCTGTGGGAAATATGGTGCTGGTCAAAGCAGGAGATGTGTGTGCTGCCCTACCATCTAGAGGGACGACCTGGGGACTCCGTTTCAACCCAACAACAACCAACCAACCCCTCCCCTCCTCCTCCTCCTCCTGCTGCCCTAAGTTTCCCTTTATCTCCCCTCCCCCTCTCAGGTCGTCCCTCTAGACTGCACCATTCGCTTCGGCCGCTCCCTCCTCACCGCAGAGCACCTCACCGGCACCAACCTTTCTCTTCCTTCCCTGCTGCTCTGCTCTTTCTGCGCGCTCACGGCATGCGCCGGCAAGGTGCGACTCTCTAGAATCTCTCTAGAAATGGGGTACACCCAGGGTGCAAAGTCAGCCCTCGAAAAGATCTTCGTCAACCAATTCGTTGATGTAACCGCGCGCGCACCAGTAACTTTTGCAAGTTACACGAACACTTCCAAGCTGTAATAATCCTCTCCGTATGAAATCCGCGTGCATTGAGGTGTATTTTGAGGCGCCTCAAAATACACCTCAACGCTCACGGCATGCGCCGGCAAGGTGAGGCTCTCTAGAATCCCTAGCAGCTCTAGAATTGGTGTTGAGCTCGCCAGGGGTGAGGGGGTCGCTTTATTGGGCACTGGCAGTGATGGTGGCGGCGTCGCCCTGTGCTCTGGCTGTTGCTCCCCTTGCCTACTTCTGCACGAGATCCAGACATAGCACAGTGAGCTGCGTGCGTGCAGGAGGCTTGAAGCAAAGGAAAAACAGCAGTAGTACTTCTGCACTTTGACAGCAGTAGTACTTCTGCACTTTGACAGCAGTAGTACTTCTGCACTTTGACAGCAGTAGTACTTCTGCACTTTGACAGCAGTAGTACTTCTGCACTTTGACAGCAGTAGTACTTCTGCACTTTGACAGCAGTAGTACTTCTGCACTTTGACAGTATGTGAGATGACTCTAGAATCTCTAGACTCTCTAGAATCTCTAGACTCTCTAGACTCTCTAGACTCTCTAGACTCTCTAGACTCTCTAGAATCTCTAGACTCTCTAGACTCTCTAGACTCTCTAGACTCTCTAGACTCTCTAGACTCTCTAGACTCTCTAGACTCTCTAGACTCTCTAGAATCTCTAGAATCTCTAGCCTCTAGTCACGGGGTTCGCTGTATCGGGCACTGCCAGTGACGGTGGCAGTATCGCCCTGTGCTATCACTGTTGCCCCGCTCGCCTACTTCTGTGCTATCACTGTTGCCCCGCTCGCCTACTTCTGTGCTCTCACTGTTGCCCCGCTCGCCTACTTCTGTGCTATCACTGTTGCCCCGCTCGCCTACTTCTGTGCTATCACTGTTGCCCCGCTCGCCTACTTCTGTGCTATCACTGTTGCCCCGCTCGCCTACTTCTGTGCTCTCACTGTTGCCCCGCTCGCCTACTTCTGTGCTCTCACTGTTGCCCCGCTCGCCTACTTCTGTGCTCTCACTGTTGCCCCGCTCGCCTACTTCTGTGCTCTCACTGTTGCCCCGCTCGCCTACTTCTGTGCTATCACTGTTGCCCCGCTCGCCTACTTCTGTGCTATCACTGTTGCCCCGCTCGCCTACTTCTGTGCTCTCACTGTTGCCCCGCTCGCCTACTTCTGTGCTCTCACTGTTGCCCCGCTCGCCTACTTCTGTGCTCTCACTGTTGCCCCGCTCGCCTACTTCTGTGCTCTCACTGTTGCCCCGCTCGCCTACTTCTGTGCTATCACTGTTGCCCCGCTCGCCTACTTCTGTGCTATCACTGTTGCCCCGCTCGCCTACTTCTGTGCTCTCACTGTTGCCCCGCTCGCCTACTTCTGTGCTCTCACTGTTGCCCCGCTCGCCTACTTCTGTGCTCTCACTGTTGCCCCGCTCACCTACTTCTGTGCTCTCACTGTTGCCCCGCTCGCCTACTTCTGTGCTCTCACTGTTGCCCCGCTCGCCTACTTCTGTGCTCTCACTGTTGCCCCGCTCGCCTACTTCTGTGCTCTCACTGTTGCCCCGCTCGCCTACTTCTGTGCTCTCCCTGTTGCCCCGCTCGCCTACTTCTGTGCTCTCCCTGTTGCCCCGCTCGCCTACTTCTGTGCTCTCCCTGTTGCCCCGCTCGCCTACTTCTGTGCTCTCACTGTTGCCCCGCTCGCCTACTTCTGTGCTCTCACTGTTGCCCCGCTCGCCTACTTCTGTGCTCTCACTGCCTGTGCAGCCAATGTGAGACTCTAGGAGCTCTAGAAGCTCCTTCAACGCTTTCTTTTCTTACACACCGTCTCCCCCATCCATCCCATCAGGGCATTCTGCTGAAGGGCGGCCATGCCCTGGACGCCACAGCAGCATGCGACACAGTGGCCTTTGACAAGACCGGAACGCTCACCACTGACCAACTCGCCCTGCGCTTCATCCAACCTCTACACTCCCACGCACCGCACACCACTCCCTCGCTCCTCACACCCAACTCCGCACCTTCCTCTCCCTCCTCCTCCACCTCCTCTCCCTTCTCTTCCTCTACCTCATCCCCCTCTTCATCGTCCTCTCCTCATTTTGGTGAAAGCGAGAGATTTTGGGAGGACTGTACACTGGAGGAGACAGGGATAGTTCACAGCCATAGTCACGAGTGGGAGGAGACAGGGGTGGTGGTGGAGTGCAGCAGTGCGAGCTGTGAGGCAGAGGCGCTGGCAGTCGCTGCTGCTCTCGAGCAAGCCGCCACGCACCCCATTGCCAGGTGGGTTGAGTTGGGTGTAGGGGTGTCGAAACGTCTCAAGACTCGGCAGGCGTGGTGGTGGAGTGCAGCAGTGCGAGCAAGCAGCCACTCACCCCATTGCCAGGTGCGTTCGGCTGGGCGTTAGATGGGTGAGTGTGGGAATGTTGAGTTGTGTCAAGGCTCGACAGGGGTGGTGGTGGAGTGCAGCAGTGCGAGCTGTGAGGTGGAGGCGCTGGCAGTGGCTGCTGCTCTTGAGCAAGCAGCCACTCACCCCATTGCCAGGTGCGTTGAGTTGGGTGTAGGGGTGTCGAAACGTCTCAAGACTCGGCAGGCGTGGTGGTGGAGTGCAGCAGTGCGAGCAAGCAGTGTCAAGACTGGAGAGGCACTGAGTTTGAGACGTCTCAAAACTCAAGACTGGACAGGCACTGAGTTTGAGACGTCTCAAAACTCAAGACTGGACAGGCACTGAGTTTGAGACGTCTCAAAACTCAAGACTGGACAGGCACTGAGTTTGAGACGTCTCAAAACTCAAGACTGGACAGGCACTGAGTTTGAGACGTCTCAAAACTCAAGACTGGACAGGCACTGAGTTTGAGACGTCTCAAAACTCAAGACTGGACAGGCACTGAGTTTGAGACGTCTCAAAACTCAAGACTGGACAGGCACTGAGTTTGAGACGTCTCAAAACTCAAGACTGGACAGGCACTGAGTTTGAGACGTCTCAAAACTCAAGACTGGACAGGCACTGAGTTTGAGACGTCTCAAAACTCAAGACTGGACAGGCACTGAGTTTGAGACGTCTCAAAACTCAAGACTGGACAGGCACTGAGTTTGAGACGTCTCAAAACTCAAGACTGGACAGGCACTGAGTTTGAGACGTCTCAAAACTCAAGACTGGACAGACACTGAGTTTGAGACGTCTCAAAACTCAAGACTGGACAGACAGGCACTGGGAGGGAGGCGCTGCTGCTCTCGAGCAAGCAGCTATGCACCCCACATAAGGTGCATCAGCTGGTGCAGGGGCGAGGGCTTACCCCGCTCTCCTTCCCGACTTCCCGCCCTTTTTCCCCACTCTTCCCCACCCCCGCCACCAACAGAGCACCACAGGAGTATGCAAACAGCAGGCGAGCTACTCTCACTGGAGTGAACATGGATCAGCTGCTGGTGGCAGGGCGAGGGCTCACATCCCCCCATCCCCACTCTTTCTCCTCACGCTCTTCCCCCCCCCTGAAGGGCCCTACAAGAGTATGCAAACAGCAGGAGAGCTACTCTCACGGGGGTGAACGTGGATCAGCTGCAGCTGGTGCCGGGGCGAGGACTCACAGCCACCATCTCTAGCTTGCCTGGCGAGGTGAATGAGATGAGTGCAGTGCGGTGCGATGCACTGTGGTGCGGTGCGAAGGTGTGCAGTCAATTTTTATGCGGTTTGGATTGGCTGAACATGGTGGGGACGCGGTAAGGCAAGCAGCTGGTGCCGGGGCGAGGTGAGACGGCTGGGTGTAGTGCGGTCCTTGAGTCGACTCAAAAATCGGTCCCCAGCGATACTAAGGTGTGCTGGAAGTGCTAGTGCGGTGACTGTGGACATGGTGAGCAAGCAGTTGGTGCTGGGGCGACATCTCACTGCCACAGTTGCATGCCTGGCGAGGTGAGTGATGCACTGGGTGCATAGCAGTCTAGTTTGGTATATTGGTGTCACTCTCATTTTTAGTGCGGTGCAGTGCGGTGCTGATTGGGTGATTGGGGCTATGGTGATGCAAGCAGCTGGTGCCGGAGCAAGGGTTCAGCCCCACTAGGGATGAGCAAGGGGCGAACACGAACATGTTCGTGTTCGCCCCTAGACGAACACATCCGTTTGCCGAACCGAACAGTGTTCGGTTCGGCGAACACTTTAAGCAAAAACGCGTGTTCGCCGTTCGCCTGTGAAGGCGTGTTCGGGCGAACCTCGAACACGTTCGTGTTCGTCGCGGGGCAAATTGCAGCAGCAGCCCGAACACGAACGTGTTCGGGCGAACATCGAACACTGTTCGGCGAACAATTTAAGCAAAAAAAACAAACCTGTTCGGTTCGCCTCGAACACGTTCGAGGCGAACCGAACAGGTGTTCGCCCTTGTGCTCATGTCTAAGCCCCACCATTGCATGCCTGGCGTGGTGGGTGACATGCTGGGTGCAGCGTGGTGCGGTGTGGTGCGGTGTGGTGCAGCGTGGTGCGGTGTGGTGCGGTGTGGTGCGGTGTGGTGCGGTGTGGTGCGGTGTGGTGCGGTGTGGTGCGGTGTGGTGCAGCTCTGAGTTGGTGCAGTGAGGTGAGTGACTGAGTGCCCGAGTGAGTGTTTTGTCTTCTGCTATCCACACCATCTCTGCCTCCCTACACCGATTTCCATCACCCATCACCCCTCTCCATCGCTTTAGTAGTATGGAATTGTTCTCCTTCCTGGTTTTGGTCTGCCACCCCCCACCTTCTCGGCCAATCACAGGGCGACAAGTGGGGCCCGCACGAGGCTCGCATTGGCTCCCTGGATTTCATTGCTGAGGTGGCAGAAGATCATTGGGCCGGCAGAGCAACAGTAGCAGGACGCGGCGGCGATAGAGAAAGGGCAGCAGAAGCATCAGCAGCTGCCCAATCAGCCGACGCCACATCAGCAGCAGCAGCAGCCACACCATCTGCATCCCAGCCAACCCCATCTTCTCAACCACCCTCACCACCCTCACCCCTCCCACCACTCTCACCACTCGCACCACCCCCATCTCTCCCCCCAAGCGACCTAATCCGGGCAGCTCTAGCCGTGGGGCAAAAAGTAACCCTTTTCCACTTTGAAGACCAGCTTCGGCCCGGAGCTAAAGAAGTGGTTCGGCAGCTGCAGCAGCAGGGGGGACTGAGAGTCCAAATGCTCACGGGGGACCATGCAGCTTCGGCACACCGGGTGGCAGCAGCGGTGGGGATTGAGGGAGGGGAGGTGGAGGCGGGATTGAGGCCAGAGGATAAGCTGAGGGCGGTTGAGGCGATGACTGGGAGGATGGGGAGGGAGGGGAGGGGAGGTGTGCTGATGGTGGGGGATGGTATCAACGATGCGCCTGCTCTGGCTGCTGCTACGGTAGGTTTTTTGGCGGACTCGTGTCTCTGCTACTGTAAAAGAGTCTCGAGACATTTTCAAACTCTAGTGTGAATGCTCTGTGCTATCTTCAAGCCCCTTCTGTGCTTCCTTCCTGCTGACTTTTGAGTCGACTCAAACTGACTTTTGAGTCGACTTTTGAGTCGACTCAAGTGTCTCTGCCACTGTAAAAGAGTCTCGAGACATTTTCAAACTCTAGTGTGAATGCTCTGTGCTATCTTCAAGCCCCTTCTGTGCTTCCTTCCTGCTACGCGAATTTGTCTGAACTGCTCGAAATCCGTTTATGTCACATTCGTTACTGTCACCCTTGTTTGTGTCACATTCAATTGTGCCGCATTCGTGTGTACCACATTCGTTTGTATCACGCACGGCATGTGGGGGTGGTGCTGGCGGAGAGAGCAAGTACAACAGTGGTTGCAGCAGCAGACATGCTTCTTCTGAAGGACAAAGTTTCTGTACCCTTCCACATTCATTTTTGCCACAATCATTTGTGTCACGCCCGGCAGGTCGGGGTGGTGCTGGCGGAGAGAGCAAGCGCAACAGCGGTGGCGGCAGCAGACGTGCTTCTATTGAAGGACAATATCTCCGAGCTCCCGTTCCTGGTGGCCAAGGCTCGGCAAACCACCCTCATTGTAAGAGCAAATATTCTCCCCAAACACTAAGTATAAATATAGTGTTTCTCTGCCGAACACTAAGTTCCGGCCAGGTATCTAACCTATGGCAGTGAGGTGGCTTCTGAGTCGACTCAAAAGCCACTAAGTTGCTGCTAGCTATCAAGCCTATGGCACTAACCGTGTGCTTCTATTGAAGGACAATATTTCAGAGGTCCCACTCCTGGTGGCCAAGGCTCAGCAAACCACCCTCATTGTGAGAACGCGTCCCTGGGTGCTCAAAAGGAGCAGGGCGTGGCTCTCAAACTCAAATCTCCTGGCCCTGTGTGGCTCTCAGATTGCCCTGTCCTTGGGATCCTGTCCATGTTCAGACACAAGATTTCCTCTTCTAAGCTCCTCAAACCCCGTCTCTGTCCCTGCCCTTGCCCTTGCTCACACCAGGTGAAGCAGAGCGTGGCTCTCTCACTCACATGAATTCTACTCGCACTCCTACCAGTCTTTTCTCTTCCTCCCCCTGTTTCAGCATCTCTCTCCTTGCCTGTGCTCCTCCCTGCCCTTTCCTCAAAACCCGTCCGTGTCCCCTTGCCCTTGCTCACACCAGGTGAAGCAGAGCGTGGCACTCGCCCTCACATGCATACTGCTCGCACTCCTCCCCGCCCTTCTGGGGCATATGCCCCTCTGGCTCACGGTGTGTGCAGTTGGGTGGGCTGGGGTGTAGTGTGGTGGAGTTGGGATGGGTTGAGGTTGGGTGGGGTAGGTTGGGGTGGGTTTCGAGTCGATTCAAAGCACTTACGAGACACTAGTGCTTCACATCTCCCTGTCTCTCCCTTGTTCTCGTTACAAATGTTACCTCAGGTGTTGCTTCACGAGGGCGGTACGCTTCTAGTCTGCCTCAACTCCATCAGAGCGCTCCACCCGTCGCCTCTTCGCCGCCCCGGCCTCACCTCGCGCTTCCTGCAGCGAGCCCAATTGCTGCTGGAGAGGCTGGTGGGACAGCAGCCGGGTGCTAATATCGGTAATGGAGCAGCTACTAAGGGGGGTGTTCCATCAGCAGGGATGCCTTGATTCTGCTTCTAGGTGGACCGGAACAGGTTCCATCATCCTTGCTAAGAGCAATTTGTTTGGAGGAGAGAACTTTCATGCATGATAAAAAGGAGTGGTCTGATTTCTGTTTGAAGGTCTACACCATGTAACAATATTTACATCACAACAGCACATCCTAGCCAAATGTCCATGCTGCCTTCTCAGCAATGTAAAATGAAATGCTCTTTGACCACTTGGCTCACCATACTAACCCCACAAACTTCACATCAAAAGCTGACTGTTGTCCTAAAGTACAGCTACAGAAGGCATGCCACCTCTGAGCGAGCCCACATTGCTGACAAACAGCACAAGCAAAGGCCAATGCTGTCCGCACTCTCATGTTATGTTATGCCAGGTACAAAAAGCGAGGCGAGGGATTTCCACCAAGACAATAATGAATGGACAAAGGTCGCAAGTAACCTAACAAAATTAGACGGTGTATGATTGCTGGATGGTATCCACGTCAATGTTCTTGAGCTTCACGATGTTGTCCACATGGCCCTTGAGCGTCAACCCCTCCCGCAGCCTGCAACACATCGCACCACAGGACGAATTATTAGAAACCCAAGGCCAAGAATCTCCACCAGATGGATGCTACATGGGAGCCAGGCAAGGGTTTTACCTGGCGATTTCTGCACGACGGCGAGCAGCCTCCGCTGCGTCAGCTCCACCAGCAGTGCCGAGCACAGCAAGGACAGTGGGAGCCTCATCACCAGCAACGGTCTGCAGCCCAGTGAGTGTGCGCTGTGCCGTGGCCCACCGCGCCTGCCTCTCCTCAATACCAAAGTTAGCCTTCTTGGTGAATGTAACCCTGTTCTCTGTGAGCAGATCCCAGGCCTTGCCGGAGAGCATGTAGGAGACGGCGAATTTGATGAAGTCCAGAGGAACGTATGTCACCAGACTGCATGCAGAAACAGGGGGTAAAGAGGGTGTGTTTTGAGTCGACTCAGAACACAATTTGATGAATTCAGAGAAAAATATGTCAACAGACTGCAAAGAGGAGCCACATGACAGGAATGCAGGGGGTACAGAAGGTTTCAGATGAAAATAAAAATAAAAACATGGGAAACGTTAACAGAGCTCATGTTCATGCATAAATAGAATGCAATGGAGGTTCAGGGTTTCAGGTTTGGGGTATGCAATGGCTGTGTGTTGGGTGGGAGGTGCACACACCTGTAGAGCCAGACGATTCCAGCCCATCCCCAGCCGCATCCCATGATGGAAGTGAAGCCCCAGTTGGCATACACCGCAAGGAAGGTGGCAATCTGCATGAGCACATCAAACATCACCCGCATCATACAATCACCAACAGCATCATCATCCGCACCACCACCCACATAACATCATATCATCATCACCCAGCACCATCATCATCACAAGGGTGAGAAACAATAGCCTCTTTCATCCCCTCATCCCTTTGTTCTTCCTCTGTTCTCCTCAGTTTCTCTTCACCTGACCTAACCTCTCATTCCTTACACTAGTCTCAGATTAGTGATGTCTAGCCCTCTTGCCATTTCCCTGTTCATTTTCCTCTCCTTGCACTTCATTTCAATCTTGCATGGGTCCATCACATATCTGTCACCACGACACCAAACCACCTACCAGCCGAGCGACGACACAGGCCACCATGAGCAGAAGGCCAGGGCCGCTTTTGAGAATTCTCTTCAGAGAATTTTCGAAAGGCGCATATTTGGCACCACAAAACCAAGCCACCTACCAGCTGAGCGATGACAAAGGCCACCATGAGCAGAAGGCCAGGGCGTTCGAGGAAGGAGAAGCTCTGGGAGCGTGTGACGAAGATGAGCGCCTGGGAGATGATGGAGACTTGCAGGTAGAGCGCAGACATGAGCTTCATCTGTGAGTCGGTTAGTTCCCCGTTGGGATCGTCATTGGGGGGCTTCTGAAGGGACTCCACACCAAAGGTTCGCTGCATGGTGTCAAGCCCAGGATAAGACAAAACAGAACAAGTCAGAAAAACAAGGGAGGGGGTGTGGGGGGGGGCGAGTAAGCTGGTGTTGATCCGGGGGATCAAGGGGTAATGAACGCATGACCAAAGGGCACGAAAAAGTAGCAGGTGGGTGAATGGGCATGGAGTGGTTGGGAAAGGGGGAGTAGGGAGGGGGGGGGAGGGGGTGAGTGGGGAAGGGAAGGGAAGGTGAGAGCAAGAGAGACTGACATTGGGATACCACCAGTTTGTTCACTTACCGGAAAGAAGTCAGTCTCGTAGGCAGCCCAGAAAAAGACGACACTCATGATTCCAAGGTAAGACCCAAAAGCCACACCCTGGCAGAAGATCTCCGAGAGCTTCCAGCTGTCAGGGGTAGGAGATGGAAGCACCCTGTCCTTGGAAATAGTCATGATGGTGCCTGGCAGAACAGGTGGTTGGACCAGGGGGAGAGCCCAGAAGGAGGGGGAGAAAGAAGAGGGTGGGGGGGAAGGGGATAGGGAGGAAAGGGGGGGGGGGGGAGAGGGGGGGGGGGGGGGGGGGAGGTGGGGAAGGGGATAGGGAGGAGGGAAAGGAATACAGAATACGAGTGAGAATGGCCGAATGTGGAACAAGAGCAGGAATGAGCTCCTTAAAAAGGAAGGGAGGTAGGCTATCAGACCACATGTGCAGATGACAGGCGTGGATAAGGGGGGCTCAGAGGATGCAAAACATTGAGCAAGAAGGATGGCGATTGAAGGAGAGCATACCGTCATTGAGGATGGCGATGATAAGAACCATGAAGGGGGCGAAGTCGAACTTCCAGATGAGAGCGATGAGCATGAAACCAAGCTGCCAGGACAGAGAGTTGTGAATGATAGATTAAAGGCACAGAAGCATGGAGAAATGTCCACAATGGCAGGCTTTAATCTGAACATGCCACACCAGACACACACACACACACAATGGAAGTTGGTGGTCGGTCTGATATTTAAGGATGATTCAACAAACGTACCACAATACGGATGGTGATGGAGATGGCATAGATCTGCAGATATAGAAAAAAAAAAAAAAAAAATGCACAGGCACAGCATGAACTCAGGGTCAGAAAAGTGAAGAAACGCATGAAGGAGAAGCATGTCACTGACACACTAACAACCTCCACAGAAACCTTCATCCAATTAAAACTTTTGGATCTGCCAACTCGTGCACTCACAGTATAGTTCTTCATGCGCTGGAAGATGCAGCGGCTGGTGAGAACTGCATGGATGATGACGCTGAGACCAGGCTCCGTGAGCACAATGTCCGAAGCACTGCGAGCAGCATCCGTGGAGTCATCCACAGCAATACCGATGTCTGCCTTCTTGAGAGCAGGGGCATCATTCACACCGTCGCCAGTCATGCCCACAATGTGCTTCTTCTTTTGTAGCTGGTTCACAATCTCGTACTTGTGCTCTGCAGAAAAAGCAGGAATGTTTTAAAACTCAGTTACAATATCCGTGAGTTCTGCTTTCATTCGTTATGCCAATTCAATGCAGAAAACGTTGAAACTGAAACGTGTTGACCCACCTGGGAAGACGCCGGCAAACCCGTCGGCCTTCTCAATAAGGTCTGCCACGTCGACGCCAATCAAGGAGGCATCCTTCCCTTGACCCAGAAGCGCAGAGGATGGGTACATGTTCGTTCCCATGCCCAGTCGCCGACCTGTCTCCTTGCCAATGGCGAGCTGATCACCTGCAAAACGATTGGAATGGTCAGGTGAGTTTGCATGGATATTACACCTTGTTTGACACTTCAATCAGAATCAACAGAAGCATACAAACACATGGCCAGACACACTTTCAAACCTTGCAATTGTCAGCTCAGTCCCTGAAGAATATGTACCAGTGCATCACACTTATTAGTCATGACCTGTCATTCTCCAGTTACCAGTGACGAACTAATCCAATTCATTTGAGACGTACCAGTGATCATCTTCACGTTCACGCCAAGCTTCAGGGCTTCTTTGATGGTCTCTGCACTGTCATGGCGAGGAGGGTCGAACAACGGCAGGAGGCCTACCATCTCCCAAGGACCACCAGCCGCGTCCTTGACGGCCTCAGGGACTTCCTGCAATGAGCAATTGGCAAGATGGGGTAGAACGTCAATCAACAACAGCACAAGAGCACCAATACTGGCCCACGGAAGATTACACGTAGCATAAAAAAATCAAATCAAATCAGAGAGTTTATACATGCTCACCTGGCGAGCAACGCCAAGAGACCTAAGACCACGTTCAGCGAACCCAGCAATTGTGGCATGCACGCGAGCAGCGATCTCATTCTTGTTATAGGCGAGGTCGAGGATCTGCTCCGGAGCACCCTTGGACGCCCTGTACATTTTGCCATCAGGCGTCGTGTAGGTGATTTGCGTCCGCTTGTCCACAGGGTTGAATGGGAAAAAGTGGACCTCCGTAATACCCTCCCGAGCCTGCACAAGCAATGCAAACATGGTTAAAAAACACTTTCCATGACGTTAAGACTTGCTGAACGCGAAACAGCAAGGACAGAAGCTCACCTCCTTGGGGTCAGCGAGCATTCCAACAATGCATGCGTCAATGGCGTCTTGGTTCTCTGTGCGTGCAGCACGCGCAGCCAGCAGGAGCACAAGGTCTTGATCCGCGTCCTTAGAATAGACCTGCACGCAGCAGCAGCATCACGAGGGCTTAAGCTTCGCTTAAACCCTGTCGCATTATTGTATCTAAAATAACATATCCCAGAACGCGCTGCTTACCTCGATAATTGACTTGTCAACAGTCAGCTTGTTGAGCGTCAGTGTACCAGTCTTGTCACTGCACAGAATGTCCATGCCAGCCATCTCCTCAATAGCTGTCATACGCTTCGTAATGGCTCCCTGAAATGCGAACAATAGAGATTTAGGCCGCGTTCAAAACCCCTCGCGAAGCTGTTCTGTTGCGAATGATCAGTGTTGTCACCTGTTGCGAGAGCTTGTGCGAGCCAATCGCCATTGTCACAGACAGCACTGTGGGCATGGCGATAGGAATGCCACCAATGAGCAACACGAGCAAGTTGTCAATGCCATCGCGATAGCTACGCTTCTGGATCGGCCACATGACAATGATTTCGATAACAATTCCAATGGCGATGGCTCCGATGCAGAAGTTTCCAATGGCACGAAGCACCTGAGAGAGGAACACGCGCAGCAGCTTCAGAATCGGGAAGAGTACGGCCAACTTGCGCAAGTTTGAATGGAGAACGGTATATTTGCGGCTCAGTTCGTTAACATTTCGTTTTATTTCTTCACCTTCTGGAAGTGACCCTCATTGTTCGTGTTTTCCACGAGGTTCGCAGCCTTGCCGAAGAACGTGTGCACGCCAGTGGCAATGACGACAGCCTCGATCTCGCCTTGCTTGCAAGTCGATCCGGAGTACACTCCGTCGCCAGGACCTTTCGTCACAGGCAGCGACTCGCCAGTAAGTGCGGACTGGATCAAGGCAAATCATGTAAGCGTAAGCTAATCGCAAAGGGTAAAGACAGGCTGAAATTAAAGCTAAGACGCAGCCTGGAATCAGGGCCGGTAACACCAGCCTTACACACCTGGTCGATCTTCAAAGCATCTCCCTCCAAGAGACGAGCGTCGGCAGGAATGATGTCGCCGAGCTTAACGGAGACAATGTCTCCAGGAACGAGCTCGCAAGCATCAATTTCGCTCCAAGTCTTGTCACGGTAAGCCTGCAAGCGCGAGATGGTACGCGATTAATAGCTGAATAATAGTCAAAGCTTTAGTAACCAGGAAGCGCGAACTTAGCGCACCTTGGCTTTCGGAGCAAGTCGAGCCATCAGCGCAGCGGCAGCATTGCCAGCATTGTTTTCTTCGATGAACGAGATGGTAGAGTTAACCAGGAGAAGAACAATAATACCGACGAAGTCGTACCAATCGGGAGGCTTTCCCTGAAATTTGATAAACAAGCAGTATTAGATAAGATCAAGGCCACGACTACAACACAAGGACACAAACGGATAAATGAAAACTCACTCCGCCGTTTGCTAGGGCGATAGCCATAATGGCTGCAGCTTCCATGACCCAGGAAAGGGGGTTCCACATAAAGCCAAGAAACTTCAAAATCTTGCTCTCCTGCGACAAGTACAACGATGGTGAAGTCAGTATGTGTATCGGACCAAGTCAACTTCATAACTAGCTAAAACGATATCGAGGACTGAAAAAATAAAACGCACTTTCTTCTCCTCGAGCTTGTTATAGCCGAAGATCCTCAATCGCTCTTCGACCTGTGCTGACGTCAGCCCTTCTTTCGTGCAACGGAGCTGCTCGAATACCTCCTCCATTGGACAGTCTTCCTGAAAGCCATAGTTTACTCAACAAGAAAATCCACATGAACTCTAACGCTCACAAAAATGGACGTGCAAGAACCCGAAACTACAACAAGCATCAGCTACGGACCAGATTAACGAGCTCCTTATTGATATCCTCCAGCGTGGTGCCATCGTCGGCCATCTTCTCGTGTTAGGGAGTAGGAAGGCAAGACGCTGTGGAAGTTACGCTGCAGCAGAACGTCTAACTGATGGAGGACTACAACAAGCAGACACACACACAATCTCCTCGAGTGAAGCTCGGAGGCAAGCTGTCACTGTCAAGAGGCAATCACCAATGCTCGACCGCTGTAACTTCAGTTGGTCCGGGTTTTGCACCTTGGAAACTAGGTGATAAGGAAGAACTAAGGGGGAACGGGGAGCGGCGGAGGGATGGGGTCTGCGCGTGAAGCTCAGGGGTTTCGATCTGCGAAAAGGCAAGGGAATCACGGAACTGCGAAAAGGCAAGTGGCTTACGAAACTGCGAAAAAGGGCAAGTGAATCACGAAAATACCTGTTACAAGTCTATCGAACTTGGCTTGATTGAAGATGTCGTGACAATCTCGAGGCGTGCATTCTGCGCGCCGACCATTAGGCACGAATGGGATGTCTCTTAAAGCTTTCGTATACATTTGAAAGTACTGTTTGTGGTGGAACAGTAGCCACCAAGATTTCGCCCCAACGAAAAGAAAGGGGCTTGGCGAGAGGGGTTGCGAAAATTTGGAGGATTGAGGGGTGGGAACACGAGAAACTCTCCCGTCACCCAACCCTTGAGCGACACTCACAAACGCAAGTATAAGCAACTAATTACTAGGAAAGGCCTTGATAGAACTAGCAGCGCAACTACTCACCCTGACCTAATCGCCCGTGGTAAGGGGACACGGGGCTATACAAAAGCCTTTAGCTGCAGGGGCGGTTTGCATTCGGATGGGCCGTCGCGTAGCATTCGTCGAGCGATGCCATGCGGCACACGGGCGAGCGCCTCGACGAGTTGCATTATGCTGGCTCGCTGCGATGCAATCGTCGAACCAGCGATAAATTATTCAGTGAGCCGTCGCGTTCCACCCTGCGGGCTTCTCGCCTAGCGCCATTATGCATCGCGAAACCCGCTGATGGCGAAACCCGCTGATGGCGAAACCCGCTGATCGCGATACCCGCTCCTCGCCAAACACGGTGCTCGCGAAATCCGTTTAGCGCGTCACCCGCTTCTCGCCTCACCCGCCGCATGCCTCACCTGCGAATCGGCAAAATACTTGCCTCACGCGCTGCTTGGCTCATAACCTTATTTCGTCATTTCCCCCCCTTCCGCCTCTCGTTTCCTCAATCTCGTTTCCCCCCCTTCCGCCTCTCATTTTCCCGGAGCTCCTCCCTCTCGTTTCCCCCCTTTCTCCCTCTCGTTCCCCCCCCCCTCCGCCTCTCATTTTCCCCCCTTCTGCCTCTCGTTTCCCCCCCTTCTCCATCTCGTTTCCACCCATCCTCCCTCTTGTTTCCCCCCTCCACCCACTCGTTTCCCCCCCTTCTCCCTCTCGTTCCCCCCCCATCCGCCTCTCCTTTCCCCCCCTTCCGCCTCTCGTTTCCCCCCCTTCTCCCTCTCATTTCCCCCCCTCCTCCCTCTCGTTTCCCCCCCCTTCCCCGTCTCGTTTCCCCTCCTTCTCCTCTCATTTCCCCAACTTCTCCCTCTCATTTCCCCCCTTCTCCCTCTCATTTCCCTCTTCCCCCTCTCATTTCCCCGCTTTCCCCCTCTCGTTTCCCCCCCTTCTCCCTCTCATTCCCCCCCCTCCTCCCTCTCGTTTCCCCCGCTCTTCCCTCTCGTTTCCCCCCTTTCTCCCTCTCGTTTTCCCCCCTTCCGCCTCTCATTTCCCCCCTTTCCCCCTCTCGTTTCCCCCCCTTATCAATCTCGTTTTCCCCCCTTCTCCCTCTCATTTCCCCCCCTCCTCCCTCTCGTAACTCCCCCTTCCCCCTCTCGTATTCCCCCCTTCCCCCTCTCATTTCTCTCCCTCCTCCCTCTCGTTTCCCACCCTTCCCCCTCTCGTTTCCCCTCCTCCTCTCATTTCCCCAACTTCTCCCTCTCATTTCCCCCCTTCTCCCTCTCATTTCCCTCTCTTCCCCCTCTCATTTCCCCGCTTTCCCCCCTCTCGTTTCCCCCCCTTCTCCCCCTCATTTTCCCCCTTTCTTCCTCTCATTTCCCCCCTATGCTCCCTCTCATTTCTTCCCCTGCTCCCTCTCATTTCCCCCCCTGCTCCCTCTCATTTCCCCCCCTGCTCCCTCTCATTTTCCCCCCCTGCTCCCTCTCATTTCTCCCCCTGCTCACCCTCACTTCCCCCCTTTCTCCCTCTTCATTTCCCCCTCTCCTTCCCCTCATTTCGCCCTCTCCTTCTCCTCATTCACCCTTTCCTTACCCTCATCTCCCCATCTCGTTTCTCGCATTTCCCCTACTCCGTCCCCTTGTTTCCCCCTCTCCCCTCATTTCATCCTCTCGTTCCTCTTGTTTCCCACATTTCCCCTTATCCGTCCTCTCCTCTCCCTTTCTCCGTCCCCTCCTTTACCCCTCCTTCCCCTCATTTTCCCCTCTCCCTCCCCTCATTCCCCCCTCTCCTTTCCCTCATTTCCCCCCTCCTTACCCTTCCCTGCCCCCACCCTGCCGGCAGGTGAGTGCGCTCATGCTGCTGGCGCGCGTGAGGGAGCTGCAGCGCCCTCACATGCTGCACAGTCCTTCCCCTCCTCCCCCCTTTGCTTACCCTTCCTTACTTCCCCCCGTGCAACCCTTGCTCCCCCTTTGCTTCCCCTCCCTTCCCCTCCAGCTTACCCTCTGTTTCTTCTGCAGCTTGCCCTTGTCTATAATTTTGTTTGTTTGTTTGTTTTTTTTCAACAGCACGACACGAAGGACATCAGGCCTTCTCATTCTGAGTGCTGCTCTTAGCAGCTTAGTGAAACCAAATCAATAGGCAGGAAGTTCCAGCTTGTGTGTGCTGTTAGCGTATCAATCAAGTGAATTGATAGCATAGCATAGCATGTCATAATACATTGGAAATGTTGATGACTGTACCTAGACACAACTTCCCTTCTTTGCGTACAGCATCCTTGCATGATGCACATGGGCACAGCACAGCATTGTATGCGACATCTGACATGTGTTGTACTCAACTCAAGATACATGGAGGGTTGTCCCCAGCTCTAGCTGGTCATAATTTGTTCAACACTTGTTGAAGAGAGCTGAAAAGAGAGAAAGGCAGCACGAGAGGGGAAAAGAGGGAAAGGCAGGAGGATCGTGAAAAAGAGGGGAAGGGTAATGCAGGGAGGGGAAGGGTAATGCAGGGAGGGGAAGGGTAATGCAGGGAGGGGAAGGGTAATGCAGGGGGGAAATGAGAGGGAGAAGCAGGGAAAATAATGAGGAGAAGGGGGGGGAATGAGAGGGGGAAGGGGGGTAAACGAGAGGGGGAGGCGGGGAAACGAGAGGGAGAAGGGGGGGAAACGAGAGGGAGAAAGGGGGGAAACGGGGTAATGGGGAGGCGGGAAGGGGGGTGGCGGGAAGGGGTAATGGGGAGCGGGAATGGGAAATGGGGAGGCGGGAAGGGGTAATGGGGAGCGGGAAGGGGAAACAGGGAGGTGGGAAGGGGAAACGGGGAGCGGGAAGGGGAAACGTGCAGGCTGGAATGAGAATTGAGGAGTAGAGAAGGGAAAACGGGGAGGCGGGAATGGGAAATGGGGAGCGGGAAGGGGAAACGGGGAGGCGGGAATGGGTAATGGGGAGCGAGAAGGGGAAACGGGAAGGTGGGAAGGGGAAACGGGGAGCGGGAAGGGGAAACGGGGAGGCGGGAATGGGTAATGGGGAGCGGGAAGGGGAAACGGGAAGGTGGGAAGGGGAAACGGGGAGCGGGAAGGGGAAAAGGGGAGCGGGAAGGGGAAACGGGGAGGCGGGAAGGGGAAACGGGGAGGCGGGAAGGGGAAGTCGGGAGCGGGAAGGGGAAACGGGGAGGCGGGAACGGGAATTGGGGAGGCAGGAAGGGGAAACGGGAAGGCGGGAAGGGGTAATGGGGAGCGGGAAGGGAAAACGGGGAAGCGGGAAGGGATAATGGGGAGCGGAAAGGGGAAACGGGGAGGCGGGAAGGGGTAATGGGGGGCGGGAAGAGGAAACGGAGAGGCGGGAAGGGGAAACGGGGAGCGCGAAGGGGAATTGGGGAGGCGGGCAAGGGGAAACGGGGAGGCGGGAAGGGGTACTGGGGAGCGGAAAGGGGAAACGAGGAGGCTGGAACGCGAATTGGGGTGGCAAGAAGGGAAACGAGGAGGCGGGAAGGGGTTGGAATGCAGTCGTTCGCGCACTCAAGTGCGGCTGCCGGGGCTAGTGCGGAAACATGGTAGCGAGGCTGTGCGATCGGGCCGCGACTGTGATCGTGCGTGTTCGGCAGTTTGAGACGAGTCGTACGCGTTCACGGTGGCGTGAGGAGGCAGCGTCGTGAGGCGACACGACGGACGACGAGGCGAGGCCGTGAGAGGAGGTCCCGCGGGATCGCTGCGTGAGAGGGCGGAACTGACGTTGGTTTATCCCTATAATTACACTAAACTGCCCCACGCGTCTAGGTTTGTGTCGGAAACGAGGGTAATTTGCGCTGGCTGTTGAGTCGCGATGTGCTTAGCTACGTATTATGCTGCCCGTAGAGCGTACTGGCGTAGATCTCACGTAGGCTGGATTTCGTATACTTTTGTCGACCCAAAAGTTTTGAATCACCAGCGAGTGCTGGGTGTCGGGGAGATCTCCCTCCCTTGTTCAGAGAGTGAACTAGCTGTAATTGGGTTACCAATATTTCAAATTTCAAAACTTTTGAACCTCCCTCTTTCAAATGTATACAAAAGCTTTAAGAATGGCTCCGAAACATTTCTTTACGAACGTCGCACACGTACCACATCCAATCAACCAAGTGCCATGCCATTTTACAGCGACCCGCTCCATCATGCTGCACACATGCGTTTCCGTAAAACTCATCGCAATC